TAATCATCAAAACAGCCAGCCAGGAAACAATGTGCATTTTACAAAGGATGTAGTCTCAAATATCCAATATTATCAAACAGGTATAATCTTATAGCATACATAATTATATTGTTCCAATATCTATTAATCATCAACATACCTTAACAAAATAAATTGACAACGTTTTGTATTTTGATATCAAATGATTGCTCTGTGGTTGTGAGGACTGTTAAAGGTTGGTTGGTTGGAAGATGACAAGTTAACGTTCGCTTCCAGCTTACTGATATCACAGAGTAGGTAATTGTTGGTAGATGACAAGTTAACGTTCGCTTCCAGCTTACTGATATCGCAGACTAGGTAGTTGTTGGTAGATGACAAGTTAACGTTCGCTTCCAGCAAATGCTGATATCGTAAACTAGGTAGTTGTTGGTAGTCGTAGTAGTTGGTAGTTGGACTGTTAAAGGTTGGTGACCACGTTTATAGGTGCTAATCAATGTATCAGTGTCACCGATACACATACAAAACTTACAAAAACCTCTTTACAATCCCTTTGAAATTCCGACAAGTGAACTTCTGTGTCTAGGATCCAGTAAATCTATGACATGACTTTTTTTCAGATCTACTAGTTTTGATTCTTGGAGTGTCTTTATCTATTACAATGACCCTGCTTATAACGCTTGTATTCGGTGTATTTTTCTACATGAGACAGGGGTAGGTAATCATTTTCATTCGTAATAATTTACAATCATTTTGTTACATACTCTTCTAATTTCTTATTATATAGGTGGTCACAATATCTGTACCAATTTTGAAAATTCTTATAGGGTGCTGCTTGGGGAAATTGCTTGGGCAAATCAGTCAATCAGACAAATCAGTCAATCAGATAAATCAGTCAATCAGATAAATCAGTCAATCAGAATAGTAATTAGATCCCCCTCTCCCCTGTGAAATAAGAATATACCTCGTAAAAGGGCTTGTTCGGAAGCAAAGAACTGTTCTATTCCAAAGGGCTAATAAACATAGTCAAGTTTAGAAAGCTATTAGAATATAAAAATTCAACAGATGAAAATAATCTGATGGTACCTACTCCAACACCAATATATCACATTTATTAATATATCACATATATGCAATTTAATACCACTTATTTTCATCGTGTATCTTTTCAGAATTATTGGACAAAAATATGAATCAATTAAGGCGTGAATTATTCCAAGATGTTGTTCTGATGGAATTGAATGGAGTTTATTTTATTAACGTTATTTACATTATATGTTATATTTTATATATTTCTAACATCACTTTTATAACAGAATCACTAGCCATTGTTGACAGTGTGAAGCCGGCATATTATTCGTCATTCGGGATACGATAATGATTTTTTTATTCAAACAAAAATAATGGGCTAGGAACCTTATTCTCGAAAACTTAACTAAGATAAACATCCAATTTTAATACATAAAGTAATCTGATTGGATAATTCAACTAAATTTAAATAGATTTTAGTGTTCAGCCAATCAGATGACTAGAATACTTAAATCCTTTTACGAGAATAAGTCCTCGGTTCGGTATTTCAAAATCAAACCTTAAAGTCTCTGGTATCGAGACAGTTTGTCATTTTGGATTAATAAATTTACACTTATTCAAGACCCAAATCAACCCCTGAAATACCTTGAAATACCAAGTTTACTGGAGACGATTGCAGGTCAATCCCAAAATAAAATTTTAGATTCAATCTTATTAACCAAACCGCTTAATGTATTTATTTTTCTAATTTTTTTCCGACAATCGCTTTGTTGACTTTGCATCAAGACCAGATAAATATTATTGCCAACTTATTTTACATTTTTACATTTTTATCGGCTTGAGAGTTTATGATCTATTGTAAAATTTGATATATATTCAAAAAGAGTAGCTGTGGTATTTCTATATCACTCTACAGATATTTTAACAGTGGTCTTTCTATTTCACTCTACAATTGATGTATTGAGCACTTTGTTAACAGTGGTATTTCTATATCACTCTACGATTGATGTATTGGGCACTATTTTAACAGTGGTATTTCTATTTCACTCTACAATTGATGTATTGGGCACTATGTTAACAGTGGTATTTCTATATCACTCTATAATTGATGTTTTGAGCACTATTTTAACAGTGGTATTTCTATTTCACTCTACAATTGATGTATTGGGCACTATTTTAACAGTGGTATTTCTATATAGCTCTACAATTGATGTATTGAGCACTATTTTAACAGTGGTATTTCTATATAGCTCTACAATTGATGTATTGAGCACAATGTTAACAGTGGTATTTCTATATCACTCTACAATTGATGTATTGAGAACTATGTTAACAGTGGTATTTCTATATCGCTCTATAATTGATGTATTGAGCACTATTTTAACAGTGGTATTTCTATATCACTCTACAATTGATGTATTGAGCACTATGTTAACAGTGGTATTTCTATATCGCTCTATAATTGATGTATTGAGCACTATTTTAACAGTGGTATTTCTATATCACTCTACAATTGATGTATTGAGCACTATGTTAACAGTGGTATTTCTATATCGCTCTATAATTGATGTATTGAGCACTATGTTAACAGTAGTATTTCTATATCACTCTACAATTGATGTATTGAGCACTATGTTAACAGTAGTATTTCTATATCACTCTACAATTGATTATTGAGCACTATGTTAACAATAAAAACATTCTTTAGTATAGTGTATTGAAATAGATGCATATTTGTTATTCATTATTCTGTAGTTCAAATCGGGAAGTAAACGAATTTATACAAAAACAGGAAAAGTCGTTTAGAGATAAATATATGGAATTGATTATATTTCTGTACATATGACACATTATGCTGTAATTTATATTCTATTTGATACATTTACAATTATAACAGATAATTAAAGTTTAAACTAATAGAGTGTGGTTTTTTAAATCAAAATCAAGTAAATATTCCTTTTTTCATTGATTTAGAGCAGGGCTTTCTAACCTCTGTTACCCTTTGTAGGATCCTTGATCAACTCCCAAGTCACATTTTATGTCTGGTCCTAAACATTCAGATATCCCGTCGGTATATACCACAAAACTATACACGAAAATGATGTAGGTATAAGAAGGAGTTCATCTTTGTTCTGTACGTTTGTAATATATTTCTATTATAAGATCCCAGCAGTTCAAAATTAGATTATTCACAGCGTGTTGGAAAGTATTCCGAAATATCTGCCTCTATTCCGGCCTCTGGTAGCTATTTTGAAAGTTGTCGGCTGGAGTAGACCTTTGGTATCTATTCTTCATCCAAATCTTGCAGAGCAATAGACATGTGGAATACTCAAATATCAAAAAGCTGAGCTTTGCCTATTCTAACGGTGCAACGGTATATTATTTACTGTTGCTAAAGGAACATGATTCTAACCACTGCACAAGGAAGATGAATTTGAAATGTGTCATTGAAATAGATAAACATGTTATTAAGCTAGCTGATGAGCTAGTGTACAGTAGAAATGTTGCTGAACAGTATTTTGTGTCTTTTGATTTTGGATATTGGATACTCCCAGACTGGTTAGTATTTATACTATCTTACGGCCCCGTCACACCAGAAAGACATTCTTACTGGGCTCCTATTGCGATGTGAAAATTGGCTCAGTTCGCAATAGACATAGTACAATTGTTACAATTGTCAACTATTCGTTGAGTTTATTTTGAACATGTTCAAAACAAAGCCACTTTTCGGCAATCTGTTCCACTGTTCCATAAGATCACAGAGACAGATAAGCGCTGTTTCCCTAGCAAACAAAATTTATTTATATGAATTATTGACCGAATTATTATCTGAATTATTTACCGTATTATTATCTGAATTATTTACGAATTATTATCTGAATATATGAATTATTGACCTAATTATTATCTCAATTATTTGCCGAATTATTTGCCGAATTATTATCTGAATTATTTACCGAATTATTATCTGAATTATTTACCGTATTAAAATATGAATTATTTACCGAATTATTTGCCGAATTATTATCTGAATCATTTACTGAATTATTATCTGAATTATGTACCGAATTATTATCTGAATTATTTACCGAATTATTATCTGAATTATTTGCCGAATTATTTACCGAATTATTATCTGAATTATTATCTGAATTATTTGCCGAATTATTTACCGAATTATTATCCGAATTATTTGCCGAATTATTATCTGAATTATTTACCGTATTAAAATTATGAATTATTTATCGAATTATTATCTTAATAATTTTCCGAATTATAAGCGTTATTTTTTCATTTAAGTTTTATTACCACACTAAATATAATAAGGATTGAATTTCCTCTGCTAAATAAAAATGATAAAATAACAAAATAACAGTTTGGCAATGCATTGTAATTAGCTTATGAACTTTCCTGTCGAATAAAAAATCTTTTTCTTTTTTTTTCTGAATATGTTCAGAAAAGGGACGTAATATTTGTTTGCATTTCACTTATTTTTTTTGGTACTAGAAGATTTTAACCCAGCTATTACTACCAATTTAAGACTGGTTCCTGGTTTCGACGATGAACAGGAATTTGTATTCGACTGTTCCTTCCCCAATCCATATCGGGATTCACTAGTCTACAAGGCGACATGGTAATTTATCATTACTGTTTATATGTATAGTATTTTCAGGTGGCAGTGGAGAGGAGAACACATATTAAAGACAGTAACAATGTACATTAAAGTTCTGTCAAGATAGTATTTCAATCAGATTGATATTCATCAGTAATAATCATTTTGTTGTTTTCTATCAAATCTATTAGATAGTACAATCAAGTAGTAAATCCAACCGGTTCAAGTATTTTAACTGTTCTAGTATTATATAAGTTATACTTACAATAGGTTTGTTGATGATGTGATTGTATACGAGTCTAACTACACTGATTATAATGATGCCTATAAAATCAGAAGTCTAACTGATACCAGGCTAAGAGACAGTAACGTTACTACAGTAGGCTTTCAGGTAACAATGTAACAATATATCCTTATTTCAGTCACACCATGACAATTTTGCCAGAGTAAGCAAAATCTGTCTAGAACGCTGACATAAGCTGACCTATCGATGTCAAATGAGTTATTTAATCGATAATGTAAAAGTACACTAAAGTGCGCTTCTTTGGGCAGCTTTTTACTGAAATGATATATATAATTATCGGGTGCCAAAATGCCATTTTACGGTAACTGCTACATTATGGAATAATTGACGTTCATAATTAACTGAATTATAATTTCAGACAGATATACAGGACAAGAAACGTCAATGTCGTAAATGTCACATACACTTAAATGAAACGGCTACTTCAGCAAATATAATAAGATAATAATGACACGGTAGCTATGAACCACTGTTGGTCTCTAATGTAGAATCTTCAACTGAAATATTCTAAATTGCGTCTGGATACAGATTTATATTTGTATTTTAGCTTCACTGTGATATAAGAGCAGCCGTAGATCTTGATGGTCACTGGAGATCGAGTTTTCCGTCAAAAAGCAACAAGAAGTTTATTGGAATGATAGTGAGTTATCAGTTTTCTTTTTATTGTTTTCCAAGGTGTCTTTTGCCATGGCAATAATCATCCATAAAAAAACCCAATATTGAAACCTCAAGCAGACTTTTCTATGATGTATTTGATTGACTCTGGACACAATATAACTATTTACCAAACAATAAAAAATATAACCGTAACCCTTTCAAAGATGAAAATTGCACGTCCGTTTCGTTTACAATAAAACCACTAGACACAGATCTGTCAGCTTCAGGGCTGTTTTCTGCATCTATATTTCGTATGACACAAATGGTAATAGATATAGATTGTTAATCTTCATAACCGTAGACATATCTTTGAAAATATCAAAATATTCAAACACTTGTCAATGATTCCATGGTCACTCCCTAAGCAATTATTTTCTAGTACATACTTTAATGTCTTGTTTTGGTAAATTGTAATGCTAGTCATAATAAGCAGAGTGTCAGTTTTTCCACTTTAACCAAGTTGAAATTAAAACCAAATAAATTGTTACAAATTCATTTTAACTCCTTGTAAAGTATATTTTATAAAATTGTTCAAAGTTTTGAAAATAAGCCGTTAATATTTTACATTTTTTTTAAATTTTGTTTGCATGTAATGAATTGTATTTTTATTTAGGCTGTGTTGATGCTGCACTGTAAAAGATTACTATAAAATTAAAATTACTTATTCTAAAACTGCATATTTTCGAAAGTTGAAGTCCCAGACCTAATATAAAGCTTATAGTAGACACAATACAATAACATCACAGTTAATGATGTTAAGGCTCAATTTCATACTCCTTCGGAGCTACGACAAAAATAATGCAAATTCACCATTTAAAACCAAAAGTAATGAACCACAAATTACTGTCTAGAAATCACATGAAAAAGTAGCCGAAAAAGATATCATTATAGAAAGATGGAGGGTGTGGAAGCTCAATGTCAAAAGTTATGAGCATGTAGCTTGAGTGCTATCAGACAAAACATTGGAAATTCAAACAATGGTATTTTTCGGAAGTTCTTTCAAGATTATACAGTTTGAAGAAAATCGAACAAAATGTATGCATTATGGCAAATTTTTCGAAATTAAAGAGTTTTCCGATACTTATTCTAACCATTATAGTTTTTTCCAGGTACTCTGACAACAATGAAAATATCCCAAACAATATAGTTTCGAGCTTTACTTGAAGACTGTATTACGATACGATCTCGAGTGTGGCTAGTTATTGAGTCGTTATTACTCTTCTTTGATGAAGTTTTTTATTAAAGTCATTATGTAATTAATTATACTATAGTTCCTAGTTTCATCCTGAACATTGTTACGAATATAAGTCAATGTGAAGATAGTATACATCCTTATATACCTTCTTTACCTTTCAATTGTTATCCTCTTTACATTCAATCAGATCATATTTTATTCAGGTTGAGAATCCGGTTATAAATATAAAAGAAGGAGAACAAACAAGAATAAAGATTCGGTCCACTGTTCCTATTGGTTGTTCTGAACATGAGGAGTGTACATTAACATTAACTGCTGATATACCCCAGGAAGGAGAAGATCAATGTGAACCTACTCCTACAGCTAATGGTGGGTGTGGTTTGGCTATTGAAACTTCCGAATGGAACAAGTCGCATCAATTAAACATCAGTTCAACTGTAACTGAAGATTATGGACAAGCGGTTATTCAAAAGAAAATATTTCTACGAACGACGTATGCATATTTCAGTCAACCTATCTGGGGGAATTATTTCCTTCAGCCAGTAACGGTATGTCTTTTATTCGATGATTTAGATCAAATGATTTTTAAACCATTCATCACATCCACCCAAAATCTATATTAGAATGCACATAATCTGTCTCACTTTGTGTAGGCCGGTTTAATGAAATATCGATGAAATATAAGGAACAGGCAATACTATTTGACCTTGATCCGATCTTACTAAAATGTAAAGCTAGATATTTTATTTACTGTAGTCTGTAGTCATTTTGGCTTTACATGCCGGTCTATTCATGATCTAACAAAGTTGTCATACATCTCCTGTTCTGGGTCAAATAATACTCAACCAAACAAGTGCGCTGTTCAATAACTGACTTCCTTGTGAATTCTGAGATATTCACTTACATGCATTAACATATTGTTTTAATGATTTCTTTGAATGGTTAAGAGAAAAAATAACAAATTGGGTCAAATTTCACAGCAATTGATCACAGATGGCGTTTATCAACTTGCAGACATGATACGAAACGAAAAGTCCTAATAAAGACTGGATTCCCGACGCTAACTGTTAATTAAACGTAATAATTTCTACCTTACTTTCAGATCTATATAGTCAAGGACACATCACTCATTGAAGACAGCTCTTGTATAATGTTTAGCAATTTGTATTTATGGGATTTCTACAGCATCTGGGGGTAACAAATAATATTTTTAATTTCCAGCCATATACATGTATCAAAAATATAGTTAGTTAGTAAATAAGTATTTTATTTCCCCAAAGAACCAATTACGGTTAGAAGATAAAATTAATTTGAATAAGTAACCATGGAAACATCTTACAGTGCAGACACAAGACAAACACATACAAATAGTAATAGATCAGTGGTTCCCATAGAGTCAATATGTGGTGCAGAGCAAAATTGTTTATACGTTTAAAGTACGAACAATAATAAACTCATAAGAAGTTCTTTTGGCCACAGCTAAATCGTACTATGTTGGGAAAAACGCATACTTTATAATGATCTGATTCTCAAAAGGTCAGTTGTTCAGACAGCCTCTTCCGACAATCGACACCATCATTCCACGTAGATGATTGGGGAAATGAGTTTTTACTTCATATTCAATTTGAGAGTGATTTGGTATCAACCGAAGAAAAATTACACCATTATTGAGCACTTCATTTTGAAGCAGGTCGTCGCAATAATGAATTATCTTACAAAGGAGAATAATGAAGACAGCAATATAACATGTCATATTATTTTACACTGTCTTTGTTTTTTTGTCATATTCAAGACGCACTTCCATAAATATTTGTTATCGGTTGTGTTTTTAATTTCTAGATCATCGGAATGTATCAAATCTAAATATTCACTAAATTATACCGAGAAGTGAAATTAAAACGCTTAACGTGTGCTGGCATGTATAAATCAAAAAGAGGTGGTGTATTTTGATGATGTTCTTCCTCTTCAGAATCAAATCATTTCAACTGGTTGGTACATTCTACATATTTAAAATGGATAATGTGGAGGCCCAGGTACAAGTAACGGAATGTTCTGGAGAGACGGGATATTGTATTTGTGGTGTTGTAGTAAGAGTAGGAAGAACTGCCTTTATGATCAACCACTGTAACCTAGGATACTGGTATATTGACTATATATTATGTGACGATGGTGGCGATATTCTTGATGTAAGAAAAATAAGAGAACAGTTGTTTGAGGTAAGTAAACTGAATATATTCGAGGAAGACTATTTAAATCCACTACAAATTAAAACAAAAACTATATTTTTAGATTAAAGCGTTTTATATTATACACAATAAAAAGGGAATACAACAATTCAATTTCAATTTGTTTATTTGGTACTGAGTGGCTGATAGCCATGGCACAAATTATAAACACAGAACAAATGATATTTAGTAAGATAATAAAATATGTTCACTGTTAAAATAGTGCTCAATACATCAATTGTAGAGCGATATAGTAATACAACTGTTAAAATAGTGCTCAATACATCAATTGTAGAGCAATATAGAAATACCACTGTTAAAATAGTGCTCAATACATCAATTGTAGAGCGATATAATAATACAACTGTTAAAATAGTACTCAATACATCAGTTGCAGAGCAATATAGAAATACCACTGTTAACATAGTTCTCAATACAACAATTGTAGAGTGATATAGAAATACCACTGTTAACAAAGTGCTCAATACATCAATTGTAGAGTGATGTAGAAATGGAAAGATTAAAACAGAACTTGAATCATGCTAGAGTTTCACGCTATGCTATCTTATAAATCGTTTAAATCAGAGTTATAGCACGATTTACTCTGTAAATGTATAGAGACGGGGGAGCAACTATAGTTGTCTGCATCATCAATGATATATTTGACCAACCCTCAGCACGCGCTACAATTACAAAAGCACCATTGGCTTTAGTCGGAAACATCTATTTCAGCCTCTGATGAATATTTTGACAATTGTTGGCCAAAGTAGATCGTAAAAAGGGGGATTTTAAACACCTCCGAAGATACGTTATTTCTAATTTTACATTAAATTACCTTTAACAAGATACACAGACAGGACATATGATTCACAATATTGTTCTAAATGTTTTAACCATTTCCGAAGTACATTAACCGAGTCTGCTAGCAAAGGCAGATTATCAGCAAAAAGAAGCAGACAAACATCTTCTATGCAAAACATGCATGATCTGATTTCCTCTACTCTTTCGGATATATAAACTGCGACAAGCCATTGACTTAAAATTTAAACTTACTCTATATTTAATAGTTTCATGCAGGCTTTTTAGTATGTTAACCTTAGTGCTATGTCAATTAATTACTAATAAACAAACGTTAATGCTTAAATCTATTGACTCGGTCAAACGCTTGAGAGAAATCGATGAATGCACGGTAGAAGCCCACCCGCTTGTTTGTACACAAGTACTTCTGTACTAAGCTATTCAAACAAAATATTGCCTCACCGAAAGCCAAGCTGTTCTTCCGGGGTAAGTTTTTCAGTTTCCGACCAATCGGACCAATGGCAGATGAGATTCTTACGCCTTCCAGATGTCTCATATTTATTAATCATCTTCTAGAGAAATTAATGTATCATCTAATGTTGTGTGGATGCCATTAGGATGGTCAGTTAACTCTGGAAAATTACCAGTTTGAGACTAGGTTTTCATATCAGCAAGCACTTCGTCTGCAGGCACACGAACAGTCTTGGTCGGCGATTGTTTTCGCCAACTTGAATCTTGTCATGAGTTTCACCGACCGGATCATGCAATTGATAGGAAAATGAATCTGATTAGATGTCTTACAGTTCGACATCTGTGTTCAATGGGACAAACATTAGTACCTGTCAAGTTCCTGATAATATTGCTGCAGAGACAACGATGGGCAGCAGGACAATCAATGAAATGAAACTCTTAAAGGGAACGAGTAGTCATTTTCACTTTCAACCGTGGATAATTCTGCACAAACATGGAATTGAAGGCTCCAATGTATAGCTAATAAAATAGCTACAAAGTTCCCCGTTTCTAAGACTAAGATACGATTTGTCAAACGGGTGGCACAGGTGTCCCTTTAATATTTTGATTAATAGTTAGTGACCAGTTGTTTTGACACATTTTAGATACATTTCCCAAGTGGTTCAAAAATAAGCATCTCTCAGAAAGAAGACTGGCTGATGATAGCTATATTCCCATCGATGAGAGATACCGAGAAAACAACTGGTTTATGTGGTGAATTAACAGCTAATCAACCGACCGTGGAATACAATGACGTATATTTTAATTCATTCAGGTAAATTTGTGCTGTAAAGTATCAGGAAGGGCTTCTGTAAAGATCCAGGGACATAATTATGTACATGTAGTAAATTGGTGGAAGATTCCGAAACAGAAATTGATTTGCTTGTTCAGATTTTTATCCCAAAAACATTGTAGAGGGAGAGCAGTAACACGTGATCAAAGAATTTCAAATACATGCTTTATGTTAGTAAGTTAGTATGCGAGCTTGGGCGTAACCAAATCTATCTAATTTACAGAGTCCAGGCAGAAGTGAACTTGTTTAATCCGGACAACTGGGAAACCCTGCCTGAGTGGACTACACACACGGGCAGATTCCAATATTGTCGTTGTAATGAATTAGCTGATACAATACGCTCAACTCTGGACTGTAGTCCAGTACCAGGGGCAACAACCTGTTCCTCAGAAACGGACTATACCTTGTTCCATAAAAAAAGATGTATCAATCCTTTACGAAAGAAAAGATCGCTTCCTCGGGGTTCACAACCTGAAATAGTACACCACCGACGACCCAAACGGGTATGTAGATCTGTAGTGCCAGGGATATGCATAAATAATGATCTGTCAGTATATACTAATTGTGATGAGACTAGTTTCTCATTCCACTGAAAGTTCCATGGAATTGAAGGACACATTTGTTTTTCATTTTTCTAATGCGTGAATAGTCTTAATCGCTTAATCCTAATATAAATACCTGAAACAAGAATGTTTGTTTCTATTTCGATCTATAACGTTATGGTATAGAATAGGAAATAGTCTATGTATTGGCTCAAATGGCCTTAACATGATGTGAAGTACATCCAACTTCAATGTAGTAAGTACTGTGCCGGGTATCTTTAACGCAGAATATAATCTAAATCCTTCTTGAACACTCTTATGACTTAGTCAAATTGACACCCCTTTCGCAAGATCACATATTTGATAATGTTATGTGGGTATATTTATGAGAAGATGAAAAGGTTTATTTTATTCTAGGATGTAAGTTGGAAGAATGGATGGACTATGGACAGTGCTAATGAATATTGTTCTGGTCTGTTTAATAATTCTATGGTTATTAAGAGATGTGAAGGTATAAGAGGTATTAATATTGAAGGGGCTATAGAAACATGTGTCAGAGATATACAGGTATGTGTATAAACACAGCTTACAATGCCCCAACTCGTGTTTAAACCAATCGTACGTTTGAATTTTAAATGATAAAAACGAATTATTCATGTGTTTATCAAATATCATGATTTACATGCTAAAGTGAAATAGAGTAGAAATGTGCCATAGTTTTGAAGAGACGATGGTTTGTGCCTTAACATCTCATATTTTACGAAACATTTATTTTCTAGCTCAGTGGAGCTGATTTGTTTGCTATCTCAGCCATATCGTATATCAGTTCACAATGTTTACATGAAGCCAGAATGAATCGGAGTTTAAGGGAAGAAAAGGTAGAAAACGGTAAAACTATTCTGGAGTTGGTGAAAGAAGTTGCTTGTCCTGGGGAATGTTCAGATCGGGGACTTTGTGAAGACGGTAAGTGGTCGCTCATGATAATGAAATATCTTTAGCTTAAATCATCAAAGATTATTATGAGTTGCAAAGGAATGTCGCGAAGAGAAGAACAATGTTGGTGATAAATTTCTATCAAACAGACTAAGTTGTTCATCACTCAAAATTTTACTATGATGATGAAGGTGAGATGGCATATGCACACTAAAACGAATGTTGCCAATTGAACTTTTCCAACATGTTTTCATACTTGAACTGTTATTTGTTATTCCAGGTAAATGTATCTGTAACTCTGGGTATATTGGATCCGACTGTTCAGTATCACTCAATGAACCACCATTAGCTCACAATCTAGAAGCTGATGGACATTGTGATTTATCAGTAGACGATTGTACTGATGTGGCTGTTTTTGGTGGAAGATTTGTAGATGCTGACCAGACCAAGTGTAAACTGTTACCATTTGAGGTAGTTGATATTAATAATTTTGAAATGGGTGTATGTGCTGATTTAATTGGTATTTTATGAATGTACATAATAATTTGAAATAGAAATAAAACTTGAAGAATTTGTTTAAGAATAATACGATTATTTGTTCCTTGATTTCACACCCAGATATGAACAGTTCAGTTCTAAAACTTAATGCAAGTTCAATCCAAATGCATTGTGATTGTTCGCTGTAGCACACCACAGACACGTAAGAATAAAAGCTAAAAAAATTATTGGAGTTGGTAGCTATTCTTTCAAATGTCATAAATCTGCCATTGAGAGTATATGTTTTTGTGTCTATCTTATATCTACATTTTAGATAGAGAATGACCACGTTACTGTCAGTGAAGAAAGAATAATACAAACAGCAGTATTTGAGAGTATTGGAGAAGTAACGTGTAAATTACCATCTAGAAAACGTAGAAGAAGATCAGTAGATGTACCAGTTATTGATGAAACTGTGACTGGTTATAAAGTCTCCGTATCTAATAATGGTCAGAACTACAGTCAACAGTTAAATCTCATCATATATAATACAGAATGTATAAACTGTAATATAGATAACTCGAATGAAATGAACTGCTCATTTTCGGTAAGATGTTTAATTTGCTAAAAAATAACAACCATTCTAACTATTGTATTATAGATACTATATGTTATAGTAATGGTTTATTTCAGTCTAACTATTGTATTATAGAAACTATATGTTATAGTAATGGTTTATTTCAGGTTAACTATTGTATTATAGATACTATATGTTATAGTAATGGTTTATTTCAGTCTAACTATTGTATTATAGATACTAAATGTTATAGTAATGGTTTATTTCAGTCTAACCATTGTATTATAGATACTAAATGCTATAGTAATGGTTTATTTCAGTCTAACTATTGTATTATAGATGCTATATGTTATAGTAATAGTTTATTTCAGTCTAACTGTTGTATTATAGATGCTATATGTTATAGTAATGGTTTATTTCAGTCTAACTATTGTATTATAGATACTATATGTTATAGTAATGGTTTATTTCAGTCTAACTATTGTATTATAGATGCTATATATTATAGTAATGGTTTATTTCAGTCTAACTATTGTATTATAGATGTTATATGTTATAGTAATGGTTTATTTCAGTCTAACTATGGTATTATAGATGCTATATGTTATAGTAATAGTTTATGTCAGTCTAACTATTGTATTATAGATGCTATATGTTATAGTAATGGTTTATTTCAGTTTAACTATTGTATTATAGATGCTATATATTATAGTAATGTTTTATTTCAGTCTTACTATTGTATTATAGATGCTATATATTATAGTAATGTTTTATTTCAGTCTAACTATTGTATTATAGATGTTATATATTGTTATAGTAATGGTTTATTTCAGTTTAACTATTGTATTATAGATGCTATATGTTATAGTAATGGTTTATTTCAGTCTAACTATTGTATTATAGATGCTATATGTTATAGTAATGGTTTATTTCAGTCCTACTATTGCATTATAGATGTTATATGTTATCATAATATTTTATTTCAGCCTGATCATTGTATTATGGATAATGTATGCTATGGTAATGGTACTATGTATAATACTGGTGACAGAGAATTTACATGTCGAACTGACAGTGGTGGAAAAGCTTGGCTACCTGGTAATTATCGTAATTGATAGTATGTAAGATTACATGTGCCAACTCAAAAATACATGTATGTCAAAAAGATATCTTTGTTATATGACCCCGGATGTGCCTAAATATATTTTCTTGGTTCAATAATACACAATTAGCATGTGTTTTTTCGTTTTGAAAAAGATTCATATTTTATGCTTGTTTTAATAGTCTTATTGTTTTCATTTATATTGTTGCTTATTATATATCAATAATGACTAAATAACACATTCTTTGTATTTTAAGCTTGTTGTACCTTTTCTAGCCTGAAAACAGCTATTTTATTCACATTGACTTCACATCGTAGCAAAGAATGAAGCAAAATTATCTCGTCGATGACTTTATTTCTAAACGATTGAATAATCACTTTTAACAAATCTGACGTTGGTTTTATTATTGAGAATGGATAGTGAAAAACTTGCAGAAACAAAAGACAGAAGAGTTAGCAATTGAACAATGATGTTGTTGTGCCGTGTAAAGCGACACACTAAAATTTGTATCAATGAACAAATTTCACATCTCAAGGGAGGTAACTGAGCTAACAATATATATATTTGTAAAAGAAGGTCAATACAAAAGCTGTAAACCATATCAGCTGCAGAACTGTAATTATCATGCAGAAACTAAGTAGAAGATACGGATTCATGATATCTTGCTGTTGATGCATGACATTTTAGATGAAACTGTTCTGTAAGTCAGTGATTTACTTTTTAGAAAAAGGTTTTAGGAAAAATATTCGAGGAAACAAACGATGACACTTTTCATTTCAGGATTATTTATAAAGTATCAAAGCTAAGATCATAATCTGTTGACCTCATAATAATAAAGATATTAGATATCTGTTTACCAAATTACAGCTTTAAAGGTTGAACTTCTTTTTTTGAGCACCTTGTCAAAATATATAATACCGAGAGTAATGATTGTTATTTGAACCAATGCTTAAAGTAGCCAGCATGTTTAGCACAGATCAACCAATACGGCTTTTGTGATTAAAATATTCTCATTCTTATTTCTGAAATTTGGATTATTGCAATTAAAACTGTGAAAAGTAAGTGGAATCGTCCAATGGCTATATATTGTAGGAAAGAAACACTTAACATTAAACTAAATTTAATGGATTATTTGAGACTAATAGAAATAAAATAATAATAATTTAACTTAAAACTGTTTAAACAAAATTGCTTTAACATATTTACAATGATAATAACGTTGTGAACATATCGGCATACTGTTATGGACGCACACATTTCCGAATTTGATGAGATTTTAACTTTTCGTGAAGAAGTTGGCATACCCTTATGCACGTAAAACTTGAATTTTAAAATAAATAATTGATCATTAGATCATCCAGGGTTAATAATTGAAAAACTTCAATTGTTTTATCTATTTCGTAATTTGTTGTTCAATAATGTAATAAGTGTTTTTCATCAGATACATTATCACATCAAATATAAGCTACAAATATATACAAGGGATAACATAAAATTTATTGTTACCATGGAGACTAAGGATGTTGATCTTTTAAATCCAAATTATTTTACCAGTATTCAGGTCTGTTTTATATTTAATTACAATATATAGTAATATCTAATCTGCTATTCTATTTTCTAATAATATTTATATCAAATCTTAGATGATTTGATAAATAAACAATAAAGATTAGTCCTACACAAATCTACTTATATTAAAGTATAGAAAAACATGCACTGCTTTAGCTTAAGAACAATCAGTGGAATTTAACAGAGTATGAATATTTATATATCATTTAGGTACAAAAGAAATTGTCTGATGTCATGCATCTAGATATTAGAGACAGTAAATAAGAATGTTGATTTTATATGTCTGATCAGATGGCTATCAAAGCTGACGCGCCTACAATATTTTATTTGTTTTCTAATTCTTCATAAAGGTTAGGGATTTGTTGTGGTACACACTTCATCGTTGGGTTTTACATTTCTTGAATTATACACTGGATTTGTTGTTGCCTGGATGTCACTAGAGAGCTTATCTGAAACAAAATTTAAAGATATTTAATCATATTTAGTTACTTGTTTTACGCAAAGCTTGAAGATTGAGGGGAGTAGGGGTGTGTTTATAGAAACCTATCTGACAACAAATGACTTTCTATACCACAAATGGAATGTATCCAATATTAGAACTTTCTGGATTCTTAATACTGTCTATTGTTAGCAGGGACAAATCCATCGTCTATCATCAAACACATAGGCGACTTCATTGATTTTAAATCGGTGGGATGAATATTCACTATGTTTAATGGTCGTAAGGAGGAACATAGTAAACTGACAACTGACCTTGTCCTCTTCAAACATACGATAATGTGTAAAATAACTACAATGATAACAACAACTGCTACTACTGATATACCAATTACAACAGCATCAATTCCATCTATAAATATTAAACATCAGAGTTCAATTCTAGATCTACTGAAACACATCATGAATAAGCTTTTAAGCTCAACAGCTTACGAACTGTTCATATATCTGATGATGTTTATCCAACCCTTTAAGAATGTCGACCTTACTAATAATGTTTATTATACTTGTTTAGAAATATGTTTGGTAGATGACATGTTACATGTTACTTATCATGTTGTCATCACAATAATATGTCGAGTTACCACCACATCATTCTATAATTTCACTTATCACAATGTTTTGTTTGTAGTACCGACAACAATGGCAGGATATTCTTACTCTTCTGGACACTTCATTATAAAAGATATTTCTTATCATAATATAACTTTTGCATTCAACTCCCTCCCTTGAACTGTCAAAATTGGATGAAAATATTTACATCAGTTACCTCCCGTGAACTTTTGGAATTGGTCAGTCAAGTCGCTATATCTCTTATTTTTACTTTTATCAAGTTTAGCATTTTGAGCAGCTATGATGTGTGTGGTGCGAGGCAGGATATGCTTACTCTTTAAGACTTCTGATGCCACTCTTTATTATGATACACTCACTCAAGGTTGATATACTTCCTCATGTGAAAAGTTCATTAGCTACTACCTATGTAAAATATTATTTTGGATTTCGGGTTCGTTTTGCGGATCGGATCGTAAGTGCTTTGTTTATTTATATTGACTGCTTGATAAAAAAAAGGTTGCTAGGTCAGTCTTCAACCCATGGATTTGTAGCTCTTAAAAGACAAAACTTGTTATGAATATGAACGCCACGATTAACAGTGTTGTTGTTGGTAACTGTTGTATGATTACACTCTCTGAGGATTGTTATTACATAAATATCTAAAATTAAATACCTTGTGCAGAGTCATTTTCGTTGACTTCGACATCAACTATAATATAGAATGAGTTGTAATAAAACATTCGGCGTGTGAAAAAGTCATCTTCGCTGAAAATCGAACCAGTCGAACCAGCTGTTAATGGGCGACGATAATCAGCAGCGAAAGATCATTATCAAGAGAATTTGGTCCATTTCCAATGATGTCATGCCCGAAAAACTTGCTTTTGAGGCTGCGAAGGGTGGGGGGAGGGGGCGACTGACCACTCTGCCCTCCCTTTGGCTACGACACCGGTAGAGAGTGTATTTGTCAAGCTGTTAAGACAAGAACTCACCCGGATTCCAAGTTTTTCCATTACTGTTAGCTTGACATATAAATTCTGTGTCACCAGTGTTACACACATCACCATTACTATAGCATATATTTTCCATAATACAATGATCAGGCTGAAATAAACCATTACTATAACATATAGCATCTATAATACAATAGTTAGACTGAAATAAACCATTACTATAACATATAGCATCTATAATACAATAGTTAGACTGAAATAAACCATTACTATAACATATAGCATCTATAATACAATAGTTAGACAGAAATAAACATATAGCATATTAAACTGAAAAAAACTATTATTATAAAATATAATGCTCCAACACATCAAACTAGTACGGGTTTCTCAATTCGGTACCCCTGTCGGAGAGTCCACATAGCCATCATTGATTATTTCGTTTACATATCATAATGCAATTCTTACCGAAAATGTGCAGATAATTTTATTCGAGTTATCTATATTACAGTTTATACATTCTGTATTATATATGATGAAATTTAACTGTTGGCTGTAATTCTGTCCATTATTAGATACGGAGACTTTATAACCTGTCACAGTTTCATCGATAACTGGTACATCTACAGATCCCAATCTACGTTTTCTAGATGGTAATTTACACGTTACTTCTCCAATACTCTCAAATAATGCTGTTTGTATTATTCTTTCTTCACTGACAGTAACTTGGTCATTCTTTATCTAAAATATAAAGGATATATACTCGGACGAGGCTACATACGCATAGTGACAGATTTGTTGAGGATATTTGAATGAACAGCCAACATCGTCAACATGAATTGATTCATCTTAAAAGACCTATACTTATGTGGCCTAATGAATGTTCCATGAAAAACACTTGATCAATGATAATTTTGCATGAGCATTTTCCGATTTCTGAATATTAATTGGTTCAAACATATTCCGAAAATTGAACCCTAAACGAAATCCGAACCCTAAACGAAACCCGAACCCTAAACGAAACCCGAATGCAAAAACAACATATTGGCGAAGCAGCTGATGAACTTTTCGCATGAAGGTATAGTATATCAGAGTATATGAGTAGTAAGTATTTCATAATGAAAAGTGGCATCAGATGTCTAGAAGAGTAAGCATACTCTTCCTAGCGTCACACCTTTATTTCTGCTCAACATAAATAACATGAAATTGAATCGAGGCTTCTTTTGGACACAGTAACAATGTCTGTTCACATTTAAAAGACTTGTTTTTTCCATTCTTATGAAAAGAGGGAATGTATTGTTCCAAGTGGATGTAACCGTTTAGGTTTTGGTTTTAGACTATTATTATATACATAAGTTAATCGACATACCCCCAATTTAAAGATGGGTTCCCTTATTTTCATTTATACTTATATGAATAGAAAGTAGAGGTGTTCTAATGACTTGGAAAAATACCAGTTTGTCTTACATGTCCATAAGTAATGCATAATTAGCTAAATTAGAAGAGAATTACCAGCAGAATTTCAATAAGTGATCGATCAAGAAAGGTCAAAAAGTATTTTATTGTTTATCCAGACTGTACATACATGGGCATTTATGACTGGTTACAACTCTTAATTATATGCAATAAGAACATAATGATATGATTTAGAATACATGATAATTCATAAGAAACACCAATTTATCAAACAGTTTGCTTCATTTGACACTAGAAAATAAGGAAACCCATCTTTAAGAATCGTGGATATCAATTACCTCAAATGGTAACAGTATACACTTGGTCTGTTCAGCATCTACAAATCTCCCACCAAAAACAGCCACTTCAGTACAATCGTCTAGTGATAAATCACAATGTCCATCAGCTTCTAGATTGTGGGCTAATGGTGGTTTATTGAGTGATACTGAACAGTCGGATCCAATATACCCAGAGTTACAGATACATTTTCCTGAAATAACAAATGCAGTTTAAACATGAAAACATAAGTCAAATTGGCAAAGTTCAATTGGCAACACTCGTTTTAGTGTGCACATGTCATCTCACCTTCATCATCATAATGCGTTATAGATACATTTCCGTTGAATAGCAAAATGAAAACATGAAGACATAAGGCATAAGTTGTTTTCTCTTCAATGTGCACAGCGCAGCTATACAGTCCAGTCTAATAAGTGCGGAAAGGTGATTCATTTTCTGCCCGGAAGAAACTCCCACAAACGTTTTTATTCTCTTTGGTACATTCTTTATAAAATAATAGGATCTTACAAACTAAACTTCATAATTAAATCCCATAATCTCAATAATATACTCTTTTGGTACTATTTACCGTTTTCACAAAGACCATGATAAGAACAATCCCCAGGACAAGAAACTTCTTTCATCTTTCACCATCTCCAGAACAGTTTGACCGTTTTCTACCCTTTTTTCTCGTAAGACTCTATTCATTCTGGCTTTACGTAAACATTGAGATCTGACAGATGATAATGCGGAGGGTGCAAACACATCAGTTCCACTGAGCTAGAAAATAGATGATTCGTAAGATATGAAATGTTAATATGAAGTCTTAAACTTATAGCACATTTCTACCGTGTTTTCACTATTAATGATAATAATAATAATAATAATAACAATAATGCATTTATATAGCGCCTTTGTTCTAGAAATGGTCTACTTAATGGCGCTGAGTTGCTCTGTCATATCTGGTATTTACAAGTAAATAATTTTGTCTTAAGACGAGTCTTGAATTTTGAATTTGCATCTTTAACTTGTTTTGGTAGATTAGTCCAGAGAACAGATGGTGCAGCTGAAATAGCACGATCACCACATTGGGTTCATAAAGTTTAAGGCACAATTAGATCATTTCCGGTGTAAATCATTTTACCATGAAAATTTAGCACATTTGCTCGTTGCCGCATTGTAATTTGTTTATAAACACCTGAATAAATCATGATTATGGGCAATCATTCTGGTTTGGAAAATATCGTTTTTATTATTCAAAAATTGGCTTAAAAACGATTTTCTTGGAGGGTTGTAAGCTGTGTTTATTTTTTTCATCTATTTATATAGAAACACATACCTGTATATCACTAACACATGTTTCTATAGCCCCTTCAATATTAATACCTCTTATACCTTCACATCTCTTAATAACCATAGAATTATTAAACAGACCAGAACAATATTCACTAGCACTGTCCATAGTCCATCCATTCTTCCATCTTACATCCTACAATAAAATAGATATCTGTAAATTCTAACAAAAAAACATATCAACTTAACATTATAAAATATGTGGATCTTGCGAAGGGGTGTTGGAATTTCTTGTCAGATATATCTATTGGGATTATGGGATAAATCCTTTAATTCCATGAAACTATCAGTAGAACGAGAAACTAGTCACACCACAATTGTTATTCGCGAATATCTGATCATTATCCATACATAGCCAAGATAATACAAATTTACATACCCGCCTGAGTCGTCGGTGGTGTAGTATTTGAGGTTGTGAACCCCGAGGAAGCGACCTTTTCTTTCTTAAAGGATTGATACATCTTTTTTTATGGAACAAGGTATAAGCTGTGTCTGAGGAACAGGTTGTCGCTCCTGGTACTGGACTACAGTTAACAGTGTTCTCTACCTTATAACTTATTTCCTCATCACAAAGGCAATGTTCGAATCTTACAGTGTTATTAGATCTCAAGACTGGCAGAGTTATCGAGTTGGTCGGATTAAACAAGTTCACGTCTCTCAAGACTCTGCAAAATGATTAAAGCTGAACATTTTTCAACTGTTCTACTGTTATAATGAATTTGGGAGTTTCGTTCGCCGTTTTCAATAGCATTCACCAACCTATTACAAAGTAATAAACAAAGGGTTTCTGATTTATTTGTAAATCATTTCTTGACCCCCTTCCCACTTTTCTCTCAATGTATTTTGATAGATTTATTAAAGAGAACTTGCTCGGAAAAAGTGGCATTGTGAAATTAAAATTTACTTGTGACTCTCAAATACCTGAAGGAGTTGAAATATATGTCATTGTATTGTACAGCAGGTGGATCAGCTATTAATTCACCACATAAACCAGATGTTCTACCAATATCTCTTATTGAGGGGAATATTTCTACATTCAACCAGTTGGCATTAGAATTTGCATTCAGATAGATTTGTATTTTTGTATCACTTGGCAAATATATCTAAAATTAAAAATCGGCTTCAGTCAAAAACATGTAATTCATTCACATTTATTATAAAGTTAAATGTATCATCTATAATAGAGACAGTATTAACATTCAGTTTATACCTCAAATTCTGTGTCTCCTCTTTTTCTTACACAAAACATATCGCCACCATCGTCACATAATATATAGTCAATATACCAGTATCCTAGGTTACAGTGGTTGATCATAAAGGCAGTTCTTCCTACTCTTACTACAACACCACAAACACAATATCCTGTTCCCTCTCCAGAACAATCCGTTAATTTCACCTGAACCTCCACATTATCCATTTGTAATAAGAAGTATGTACCAACTAGTTGAAAATAACTCTTACTCCTGAAGAAATTACAAAATATGGATGACTAATACATCATAGTCCTGAACAATGTTTGAACTTCCAGAATCAAATATCAGAATGATATGTTGCAAAGCCCTAGCACATCTTGGTAGATCGTTAAGCCGGACGTTACACATTATCATACCACTAATGATATGGATGTGAGAACATGAGTAAATGATTTTGTTGATTTTTAACCCAATATGTGCAAATTACTGTATTAATGTATTCCAATTAAATAACAAATTCAACTAAAACTGTAAACAGCTTTTAAACGTGGCACCAGAACTTGTCCCAGGGCCTTTTGGTTAGTTTGGAACTTCAAGGCATGTCCTTTAAGCTTGTAGTATGTGAACAAAAACTTAATACATACTAAAAGTATGATTGGTCAAAAAAATGGTGCAACTGTCCCTTTGAATTATTTCCACTTTAATAATTTGAATTTTTGTATAATCCACCACAACGCATATATCACATATGTCAAAAGAGGATGATGAGTACATTCTGATTATGAAAACCACATTGATGTGGGAGAAATACATTATTACAAATAGGATAAGAATTGGTAAATTTAATAAATATTTCCGAGAATGCGTTTCTTTTTTGTCTCCGCAGGAATTATCTATTACAGATGATCTGTTTTTTTTTTTCTTTTGTCGGCATTTCTGAATTAAGCACATATTTACAACTATTAAAGTCGAATGCCAATAGCAGAAAACAATCTTGGTTGTAAGGTTATTAATATAGTTGATAAGAGAAAAAATTCGGAATTTGCCAGGTAAAACATCAGGGTGGCAAATATCATCCAGAATTATAACATTTATATAAGATGATAATGTAAGTCCATACAAAAGGGGCTGTATCGTTTCAATATTCGAGGTCATAGGGTTAATTCTATTTTAAACTGATTATTATTTTCTTTTGCCGCGTCTGTAGCAAAAACTGAAATGGTATAGTTTGACCAAATATTGAAACTCATGGACAAATTCAAGGTAATTTTAATATAATATTCAAAACCGAAAGTAACGTATTGTAAAATTTGAAAAATATTGTTTTTTTCTACAAAAGGTCTTCTTTATTACGTTTTTTGATTTTTACAAATAATTTTATAATCTGAATACAGTATCAGTTCTACAGCCCATAGTAAATACATACCACACTGAAAAATCCTGACAACCGACCAATTCCATTACATTACTGCAACTAAACAACATTGCCTCTCAGGATATCATACTTGCCCCTCCGAACAATCACATATTGTCTTGCTTGTACGAATTTTTTATTTTCTCTACTGGTTATTGTAAGTAATTTTAATTTGTAAGCGTGGTTTTGTGCCACACATTTATTTATAATTGTTCAGAATAATTTTTTTTATTATATATATCTGTTAATTTCTACATTGTTACATGTTTACTGTTGTTAGTTGATTTCCTCTTGTATTGTGAAGCGGTCTATTTGGAGAGATAAGCTACTTACTTACTAACTATTCCATTGATAAATTAGTATTTATTAATAAAAAAATGTATGTTTACCCCACGGTTCTGTAGAAATCCCGAAAATACAAAATATAGCTGTACATTGCACATATTTTGCCTTTAATGAACGATGTATCCTTGACTATATTGATCTGAAAGTAAAGTAGACATTATTATATATTATAAACAGCTACTTGAGTAGGGAACGAATGTATTGGCACATGTCTGTGCAATCTGATTCTGCATGTTTGGTTTCGTGATATTTCTGTAGGTTTCTATACTGGTCATCCGTGATCCGATGAAATTTTTCTTGAAATCGTGTTCGGTGGCATTAGGACCCAATTTGTCATTTTTTCTGCTAACCATTCAAAGAAATCATTTACACAATATAAGTCAATTTTCATAATTGAATATCGAAGGAAGTTTTTATTTACTTAAACAGAGCATTTGATTGGTTGAATAGTATTTGATCAAGAACATGAGAAACATAATAATTTCGTCAGGTCATGGGTTTTAAGTAAAGTCATCTTCAGACAAAAATACAAAACGGAGCTTCTAGATTTGCATGTCAATAAGATTGGATTGGTGTCAAATATTATTGTTCTTTCATCGAAAATATTCCTAACTGACGAACTAAACCTAGCCTTTATTGTACAAAACGAGACAGATTAAGTTCATTCTAATGAATATTTAGATTGATTTGATGAGTGGTTAAAATTTCATTAGTCTAAAATGCAACATTTTAGAAAACTGACCGTTACTGGTTGAAGTAAATAATCCCCCCAGATAGGTTGATCCAAATATAAACCTTCCGTTCGTAGAAATATTTTCTTTTGGGTAACTGTTTGTCCATAATCCTCAGTTATAGTTGAAGTGACCTCTAAATGATACCACTCGTTCCATTCTTCAGTGTTAATAGAAATACCACATACACCATTAGCTGTAGGAGTAGGTTCACATTTCTTGTCCTCATCCTGGGGTATATCAGCAGTTAATGTTAATGTACACCCCTCAGGACAACCTATAGGAACTGTAGACGTAATCCATATCCTTGCTGTTTCTCCTTCTTTCATATTCATAACCGGATTCGCAACCTGAATAAAATATGATCAATACGCATTTAAAATATGGTTGAGTGTAAAAGAGGTAAAACAATGAAAGGGCTATAGATGTATAATTTACGGTTTATCCGTTACAACTTTCAGAATGGCAACATAGTTTACACTTTATATATTAATGTTGAAATAATTGCATTATAACCTTGATAAAAACTGCATTGAAGAAGTTTTTGAAGTAATCACATATCACTTTTTTATGTTTTTACTCAAGACGAAAAGGGCGTATTATTTTCAACCTTGAAAAAGTTATGGTAATGGTTATGTGTTCTATTGTTTGATTTCAATCAAAAATTATAACAAAAAAGAGCCTGGGGTGTAAAAAGCATAGGACAAGTATCTTACTATTATTCCTATAAATTTATTGTTACTAGTTGACGGTGAACTCGCCATCCGTTCTCCATCAGTATCTACGGCTGCTCTTATTTTACAGTGAAGCTATAATAAAATAAAAATTTATATCCAGACTCAAATTTATAGAATCAACAATTTCAGTAGAATATTTCAACGGCGGTCCTCGGCTAACGTGTTAGTATCTGTAAGCTTATGTGATTTGGTCTTATGTGATTTCGGTATTGTAAATAATTAAAGTAGAAATTGCCGTCAAAATTATTTGAGTCATACTGTTTTTGATTCATTTTGTGTAGAACGTAAATCAAATTCTCCTTTTTTAACGGACGGGGTCGCCATATTTTGTTCGACCAACCGTACCTTAGTATTAGAAACGGGAAATTGGTTAAGCTAATCAGCTCACCTTAACAATTTAGCCTCCAAACCATGTGTTATCCGCGATTGGAAGTTAAAAAAAACGATTATTCTTTTCTTGAGACTGTGTCCAGTACTTCTGAAGACTAATTACATATATTCCAGACCAACATCAACACCCGAAATTGGCGAACCTGTCGCTTTAAGGCCCTATCACTTATTGAAGATAATACAAGCGTTCTCTTTATGAGGATTTCCTATCTAGCTGTCGAGTATTAACTTTGCAATTGCTGAAACAAGGTTACTTGACACACAAACTTCATATGTCATGTAGGAAATGTTATGGTCGTTATGCAGAACTCCTTTATAAATACAATAAATCTGTTTCGGACTGGTTACATTTAAGGTAAAATGGCGTAACTGAAGTAAGTTTGCTGGTTGTTCAAAACACGTCGAATAACGTTTAATATGTCAATATATATTGGAGATAGTTCGACATAAGTTAGAAATAAGTTAGAAATAAGTTTTCAGTATGAATCTCGTATGATGGCATACGTCGATGAATTTGTGCTTTAGCGTAGATCTGAGTGGTTTAACTAACCCTTAAAACGATTAAACAATGGGGTAATCGAACCGGTTTAGACCATAATCAGTTATGATAAAATGCGTATGTTTCAGAATTATTCTTTTAAACCTTTCAATTCAGATTTTTACATAGAATTATTTCTTTAGTGGACGAGTGTTGGTATGTTACACGACCTAGACAACATTTCAGCACTTGCAAGTTATTGTCACGTCATGTGGTCATTCACTATTTATGGCCAAGGTAGGTTCACACCTTAATGGTGTTTTTTTTCAACATGGTTTCCTTTTACAAAACGCTCACGATTTTTTTTGAAAATAAGTTAGAGCAAGAAAAGTGACCGTGATTTACATTGATCAGTATTTAGTAGGCATGTATAATAGAAGCTTCGGTGTCGTGTGTACTCAATTTAAGAATAGGTTGATTTCTTCTTGCTTCAGTTTTGTGATTTTTATAACGCATAGTGACGACTATTTTCAGGTATCATCTCAAAGTGTAATTAACCAGGAGTACTCGGGCGATTTATTAACACAAGAGGACAATTTTATTATGTATGTCGACGATGAAAACTTTAAATCCATTTGAATAACATATTATAATAAGATATACGGAAAAAATTAGCAAAACTAATCTGCGTGGACTGAAGGTAAATCTGCAACCATTGGTTAAACCGACAGAAAAAGTGTGGTATTCTGTAGCACCTGTTGGCCAGAATACAATAGCGAAGACTGTCAAAAGGTTATATGAAGCGCATGGATTAAAGGTTATTATTGATTAATTGAAGGGATACTGCCTTAGAACAACCCACTTTCACCTTTCGGCACGTTTGAAATAGAGTAAATAACATCACATTTTCAAGGTATATCAGATGTTTATAATTTTCAAAAACCCTGTGGTCGAAATAAGTCGCGAATTTTTGACCACAGGCCCATCTTACATAATTACGATAATAATAGATATGTTACTTAGGAATTTTTGTTCGACCAGGATACTAGCCTTCGATATCTGAATCGCACAATTGTTCTGAATCCACAACTATTGATGAACTATATTTTCAGGATTCTTCACTAATCATTCTTTAAGATCAACTTGTGCGACTGACCTTTTTAGATCTGGTGTTGATAAACAGCTCATAGCGAAGACCACAGGTGCGTACAAGCGATCGAACACCACACTAGAGGCCTTTGTTAGTAGTGTGATCCAATGTCAGAGTTCATCATTGTCTACTACTGTTCAATCATTTAACAACCTCTGACATCCAAATATCACTTAAGATTGTAAACGACCCACGAGTGTACATATTTCATTATATATCAATTGTTAATGTGACATTAAAAAAGCATTAATATTGCGATTCGGATATTTTTATTCCATAAGAAATTGCTGCTTTAGTTTTGACTTTGCTGGGGCAGGAGGTGGTTGGCGGCGAAGAAAGTAGTCCGTGGTTATACGACGGGTATTTGGCAAATAAGTTGGGTAATTGCCTGCTTAATCGTCAATGTGTGACAAGGTCTTTACAATTTTACCTGAAAGCCGAGTGTAGTGATGCCACTCGCTCTTAGCCTGGTATCAGTTAAACTTCTGATTTTGTTGACATCATTATAATCAGTATAGTTAGACTCGTATACCCTCACATCATCAACAAACCTGAAATTAAACCATCTGATTAAAATGCAAATAAATGTAGCCCCACTGCCAGTCATAACCATCTCATAGTGTATAATTCTGTACTGCCACTTTCTTACATTCATCATAGTTTACAGTGTTTGTGTACCAGACATATGTAATGTGTCCATGTAATACTTCTTCAGTATTTTAGGTATGTGTGATTTTATAGTGCTTAATCTGGTGTGGTGGGGCTGTGTAATTCTCTTCTAATTTAGCTATTATGAATTAATTATGGACAAACTGGTATTTTTCCAAGTCATTAGAATACTTTCTATTTATATAAGTATTAGCATTTTTATTTTCATAAGGGAACCCATCTTTAAGAAATAAGTATATATAAGTATAATACATATCATATCTGTAAGTTTGGATTATTTCTAATCTAATCTTTCCTGCAGCTTTAACATACTTCTGTACTGTTTACAGATTACATGTATATAATTAAATCACGATTCAGTTTACATGGTATCACGCAATTTGATTGGATAACAGCAGTCACGTGAATTCGGTTTATATCTGTGTAAACCGAATGTAAATATAAGCACCGCCCCTTAAAGGACTACTTTTATCATTGAGTCTGATTGACGTGGCCATTACACAGCGTCGATGTCTTTCCTTCGAACGTCACCATAGCCGAAATCTACATTTCACTGCATGATTATGGTATTTTCCAAATTCCCTCGAATGTGCACTCTCCAAATATCAACAAAATCATGATTTTTGGACTTATTTCCAACTCGTCTTTCAAAAATTGAACTTTCAATGTGGCCGCTTCGTCAACTTTCATGCAATAGACAGTAGACTATAAATAGGTGACCTACTTATTGCTGATTGGGTGTTCTCTTGGACGTCTCTATTGTTAGTATCAGTTCATTAACGTTATGTTAAAATGTTAGGTATTTATGCGCCAATTTTGTGCCTTAATTTGTTACTATTTTAGATAAATATTTTAACTTGTATTCGAGTTGATTTAATTATAAGGAATGACCTGAACATTTTTTCAGTTTATCGATGTATAAACAGAAAAAATCTGTTTACACTTATGTATAAACCACTACTCTGATTTATACAGTGTACACAGGTTTTTTCTGTTTATACATCGATAAACTGAAAAAATGTTCAGGTCATTCCTTAAATAAATTACTTATTTATTTTTTACTTTAAACCCCTTTTCATTATAGGTACTTTAGTATTTCTGACTATTTAATTAAATCAGTTACTTTTTAAATACATGTACGTTCAATATATACGTTACGCAGCAAGAATTACGTACCTTTAGTACAAGTTCATTCCCTTTACCTCTATACTACAGAAAAATAGGACGTAAAACTCCATTTCATTGTTGAATCTATACTAGTTATTTATATCTGACATCGTCTGTGATATGTATTATGTTTGTTTTAATTGTAAACTTATGATTGTTATTTCAGAGTTTTTTAATAAACAGTAAAACTAATTAGAATTTGCTTATTGCTACACCCCATTACACGTTTGTATTTTTTTTCTAAAAGTGAAAGTATATTATCTTGTGAACCTGACGTTCAAGGATCTTGAATCGTTTGGCGATCCATATATATATAAAAATATTGGTAAAAAATCATAAACTGCCGGTTTTATAGTCATTCGACTTTTAACATTTTTGACATATTGACAGTATTGACATTGAAAGGCTGTGCCACACTCTCTAATAATCATAGTGACACGATTCTACATACAGGATTGGTATATTAATCATAATAAGAACGTACTCTTTATTCTTTTATAAATGATATGCAACATGAATAGCTTAAAGCCGAGGTTCCTAACCTTTTCAAGTAGCGACCCCATTCCCGAAACCGGCATCAGGTGGCGACCCTTCAAAATAAAAACGCAATTTCATGTTTTAATGAATTGTATTGTAATACATCATTATTATTGCTTTGAGGGCTCTCTGTTTTAAGATATTTTTAAAAAACTAGAAGCCCGAAGAACGCATTTTTTACGATTCTGGGTGTCAATATTTCTAATAAAAAAATAATAAGCCCATAAGCGCTGGCGATTTGAGACACAGACCGGAAGTTCTCCCTGAATATCAATTCTCAGACGAGTCCGAGACCCCAAGAAATATGTTGGGAATCCAGGGCTTATCTGCAATCGTTAAATTTGATAAAATTTTAAAATAAGTTAAAAAATATTTAAAGTTAAAAATGTTTGACAGATACCAACAACATAACTATAAAACCCTTGCAGATAGGCTATTCGATGTAGCAGGGAAACGATTGTAGAACACGTTACCTAAACAGTTAAAAACTTGTAAATTTCGGGAGTCTTTTACCAGAAAGTTCCTCACAAGAACCTTTACCTAAGAACTTGCGAGTGTTTATGTACAGCTACATTTGTCAGCTTGTGTCTGAATTGGTTCGATACTCTAGAGCATGTTCTTTTTACGCTGATTTCTCGGCTAGATCGAAGCACTTAACATCTAAGCTACTAATACAAGGGTATTTACCAAATCGACTCAAAACTTACCTTAAGTTTAAGAAATTTTACGGCCGCCATCATGAACTAATTGAAAAATATTAAATATCTGTTTCTGCTATCAACGAGGATGTGTTTGCCTAACGATCAATTCTAAATTTGTCATCACGATAATATGTCCAGTTGCCACAATATTCTATAATGTTACTTAACACTAGGTTTTGTTTTGCCTCCCTACTTTATTTGTAGTATTTAGCAGCAATGACCGGTCTGGTTCAAGGCAGGGTAAGCTCACTCTTCTGATCATTTGATACCACTTTTCATCATTGCTTCCAAATGGATTCGGGAGTTTAATACATTTTTCATGTCATAATATAACTATTATTTTGATCACTTCCCTCCCTTTAAATTGGAGAAATGTATTTTCACCAGTTACACCCCTTGAACTATCGAAATTGAAAATATATGCATTTTCATCAGTTACTTCGCTTGAACTTTTTAAATGTATCGTCATGTCATTATTTCTTCTATTTGTAGTGTGTGTTGTGTATGTTGAGCAGCTATGACGGGTGGAGGCACGAATGGTGTGCTTACTCTTCTAGACATCATGTGTCACTTTTTATAATGAAATACTTACTCACTTATGATTAACAAACTTCCTCATGTGAAAAGTTTATTGGCTGCTACCAATATTTGGTTAAAATGTCTTTTTGGATTTCGGGTTTCGTTTTGCGGTTCGGATAGTAAGTGTTTGGTTTATTGAATAAGTATGAATGAATAAGTATTGAATACTGTAGATTATATCTGTGGAAGTAAATCGGCAGTAGAGCAGTAATAATAAATAAATAATAAATAGGAATCTTAAAGAGGGCTGTTAATAAAACAAATGATTTGACCTTTTCACCCCTCACATTAGTTAGTTTGTCTACGCCCACACGAAAAATATTTAGTTTGAGTTATTGCCCCTGTTCTTGAAAATTTAGCTCTTAAACACTTAAAGACATGATTGTTGCTGGATTTTGACAATACTTGGTTTTCTTATTCAGTCCCGCGATGAAGATTGAATATTTGCCTTCTAGAGTGTTCACGAGCTAAAAATTGAACACGTTTTCAAGAACAAGGGCAATACCTCATACTCAATATTATTCAGTATCGCCTTAAAGAGCTCAAAAGAAGTGTATGACTGAAGGTTGAATATTTCATACTGGTGATTGTTACTGTACTGCTAAATATTTTTATTCAAAATCATTGACCTCATAAAAATATTCTTTAACATTTTTCTGGGGTGAATCTATGCCATTGTTAAATTGGTATCAAATATAAATTATAGCAATAACTTACCACGTCGCCTTGTATACTAATGAATCCTGATTTGGATTGGTGAAAGAACAGTCGAATATAAACTCCTGTTCGCTGGAGTAACCAGGCACAAGTCTTAAATTGGTAATAACCTTAACAGATGTTTTAAAATCTTCTACTACTTAAAACAAAGAAATGAAATAGGAATTATTTTTACAACAGTTTTCTGTTCATATACTGAGGGGACAACCGTCGAGGTTGTTATTCAAAATTCCCTGTGTCGCCACTGCCGCCGCCACTGCTTATCGATTTCGATATGAGTATCCGTGTCTATCAAGTATCACCATTTCCGCAAGTAAATACATAAGCTGTTGTGTTATAACAAACATAGACAACATTTGATTTAATAAAATAAACAATCTGTATGTCTTTTCTGATAATAAAACATAAAACAATAACGATACCGACAACAAGTTCGGTTAAAACTTGTAAAGCTTGAATTAAAAGCTAATATAATGATAATACATGTACTAATTTAATTGTACTGACCAAGCCAAAATAAAAATAATAAAAAATACTGAATATCATAATAATGATAATTTATACTGTACATCAACAAGAGAGTTAGAAAAGAGATGATTAGAGAAACTGTAAAGATACTTACCAGTCTGGCTGTATGACCAATCTATCATCATAAAACATAAAAAAACTGAAATGCATCACGTCTACTGTACACTAGCAAGCATGTACGTTTTGAATAGAAAAAGCAAAGCTCAAATTGTCGTGTAGCTTTTACAAAAACGATTCATTGTAAATTGATTTTTTGATTTATGTAATTTCTATAGTTTGGCAAGTATATAAGATATTTCATTTAGGAGTTATGACAATAAAACTTTAGTCAAATTATCTGCATTTATTTGTAGTATAACATGAGTGTTGTCAATATAATGGTAAAAAATTAAAATTTCGTCTCGCCCAGATGAAGTCAAAATTCATTGCATAACGACGAACACTTGGTCCAAATATTACCACCCGAAATCAGCACTGACAACACTTCGAAGCAGCATAATGATTACATGGAAATTAAAAATGAATCATCTGATGGTAATTGTGTTCAAACGTCATGTAACTATATTAAAGAAGCGTTTTCTTCCATAATAATTTTCTTGTAAATGTGAATTAACTAAAGACATTAATAGCTTCTGTTTAAGTCTGAACTATAAGACCCCACTTTCACTTCACCTCCGTATCCGGCATGTCCGTAGCTTGGTGTGCAGAAAAAGTGCTAATTAGATAATTTCCTTTATTTCTCGTCCCATTATGTATTCTCCAGGGACGAAGATTCCCCCTTCTAAGGAATTTGCTTCAGCTGTCACATTAGGTCATATTGACGTGACATCCATGAAGACTCATTTGGACAATTCATCTAGCATTGGAACTGGAACTGGGAATCAGTTCAAATATAAAGAGTGTCCAAGTCGGAAAATACGGCTAAAGGCATTTGATTAAATTTTTATTCATAATTTATTTATAATTTGTTTACATTACAAGAATAAAACTTACCAAGATTACTTGAAGATTTTCCTTAAATTTGTTACTCAAAATTGTTACTCAAATTTGTTCAAGTTGTTAAACCGAAGTTGCTAATAAAATAATAGAAAAAAAAACAATCCAAAATTTCCATATAGGTCAAACACTAACATTTACGGAATGCCAAAATGCAAGCGAATCTAGAAAATATGTGGAAGCACAGACGACAAAAGTTAATGAAAAATATCAAATATTGAGCCTACACAATTACTCGGATTTGTCTTGCTGCTATTACACAAGGGAGTATGCGCCAACTTCACAATATTACAATTAATAACAATCGTGTAAAATCATTCTTGGATTTCCATTAATGTCAATGGTTCTAAGATCCTTACTTGGAAATAACAAACACGAGCGTAGTTCACAGCCACTTCCTCGACTTAATAATTCGAATACTTAATACTTCAAGAATGCCTTTAAAAATTTTAAAGGTTTAAAGGCGCCCATAAATTATTTTTATTATCATTAGAGCCCACTCCATACATTATCTCAGAAGGCTTTACAACTTATACATATATATACATCACAGAAAACATAGTAATCAGTAGGCTTTACAATTTATATATGTACATCACAGAAAACATAGTAATCAGTAGGCTTTACAATTTATATATATACATCACAGAAAACATAGTAATCAGTAGGCTTTACAATTTATATATATACATCACAGAAAACATAGTAATCAGTAGGCTTTACAATTTATACATATACATCACAGAAAACATAGTAATCAGTAGGCTTTACAATTTATATATATACATCACAGAAAACATAGTAATCAGTAGGCTTTACAATTTATACACATATATACATCACAGAAAACATAAAAAGTACTATAATGTCATACATTTAAAGGTTTGAATTAAAGCATTGCCTTAAAAGAAACGTTTTGTATAAATCAATTGCTCAAAGATCTCGAGGCAGAATATACCAAAGCTTGGGCTCACCAACTGCCAAACTTTAGCATAATCTGGAAAATGGCGTTCCTATCTCGCGGTTGGTGGTTCGAGCCACAATAATTACTCAAGTAAATCTGTACATATTTCCGCTACATCGGCTTGTATGTAACGCAAATACAGCATTAAATACAGCATCGTAGCTTTCTATTAGCTATTAAAATAATTTAGAAAAAATGATGATAGATCTGACCCAAATAAGCACTCCTCTTAAATAACGTATATAAAAGCTATATGGATAATTATTTTATAAACTTTAAAAAGTCAGAGATGTACTCGTAAATGAAAAGTTAAATAGTGTTTAATTAAAAGTTAAATAAGCCAAAGACTCTACACAATTCGACAAGAACGACTTTAGTTGTTCATCAATCGGGATCAAGATGGACGAAAAAGTACCAATTGCCAACAAAGACTGACGGTTTTGTTATAAAATTTATGTTAGAAATATATAAAATATTATAAATATATATATAAAAATAACTTTGTTATAAACTCTATTAAGGTCCTTAAGAAAAACATCTTGGGATAATTCACGCCTTGGTTGGTTTGGTATCAAGTTCATATTGGAGTTTTCTGGAGAAAAAAAAAATGAAAGGTCAACATATATTCAATGTATTCCTGTACATCAATCATCCCTCGCTGACATAATCATATATAACACAAGATATATTTTATTAATCCTCCTATTGTTAATATTAATAAAGTGGTGACAGACAGGGTATGCTTAATCTTCTAGATATCTGATAACACTTTTTATTATGGGATACGTCCGTATTTATGATTGATATACTTCCTCAATTGAAAATATCATAAGCTGCAACAAATGTATGTATGTTTCGTTTTTCAATTCGGGTTTATATCTATGTTTACAAAGATATCGTTTGATCATGTGCTGTTAATGTTGTCTGATTACAAAGGATTACGTGTACAAATATATAGAGACATATATAAAGTCAGTGCGAGTCCACAACCTGTTGTGTACGTGATAGTCGAAATGGGAAGGGACATAACTCTAATTATGACCAGTATGGCATGTTTTAACTATCCGGAAATTCCTTCCACTCTATACGAATATAGCCCAACAAATCTGACTTATCTAACTCCGACTTAAAGAGCAGTACCACGGAAGGCGGCATTATATGTCTTACAACAGCGAAATCAATCCGTCTGATATGTCTAGCTATCTACGGATACAGTTCAAAAATTTAAAAGGTGAACAAAACACTCGGAAATTATTGTTACATACCTCTGTCTAAAATAGCAGAATATACAGAAAGCAAGAACAAACAGTGCGGCGATTGCAATGGTTAAACACACTCCAAGAATCGTTATCATGTCATCTGAAAAAAAAAATGAAAAAGATGATCGGTATTTGATAATGTCTTAGTTCTATTCGAACCTAGATACAGAATTTAACCTTATTGTCAGGAGTGTCTGCGAATGACAGGGTCCGACCTAACTTCTACGGAAACCTTCAAGTATTTCTGTTGAATTTCCAAATATGCTCAAGAATATGACGTAATTTTTAATCCAGACAAAAGTAAATTAGTAGTGATGAATTAGGACAGAAAATCTGTTTTTAAAAATATCAAAAATGTATTATTTAATGATAAACCAAGTCAATTAGTTAACTCTGAATTACACTTGGGTAACTCGTTAGATTACGATACATACGATATGCGAATCAACAGATGTATAAATAATTTTTTGGCTAGAGTTAATATTACTCTAAAACAGTTTAAATTTGCCTACTCAGACATTAAGTATAAGCTGTTCAAAACTTATTTTATGCCTTTATATGGTAGTCAATTACTTGACTTTTCACACATAAAGATCGAAAGTTTTTATTGTACATGGAGAAAAGCTGTCAGAAAAGTGAGGAATATCTCGCCATTAACCCATAGTAGATACCTAAATTATATATTTTCTGACTTAAGCATTGAGGCTCAGTTATTGAAACGTTTTTTAAAATTCATACATGTTATTGTAAATAGTAAGAATCAGATTACCAATTTATGTGGACAACTGGCTATACATGGCAGCCAGTCAGCAGCAAGCAATAATTTAAACGTTTTATCATATAGATATAATATTTGTAAATATAGTTTAGCTAATGTTAATTTGAAAGCTGTATTAAAGAATATATATGATATTGAATGTAAAAATTGTAATCAGGAAGCTGAAGAAACAACTGGTATTATCCGTGACATGATACAATTCAGAGACGTAGAAATACACAACTACATCAAACAAGACGTTATTGAAATCATTAATTACTTATATATAAATTAATCTAATATACATGTATATTTCTTTTTTATTTGTTCATTTGTGTACTATATTTTGTACGAAATAAATATATTATATGCAACTTACTCGAGGTTTTTAAAATAATAAATCATCGCCATTGTTACGCCATGTTTGCCCCATAATAACCCCCAAAATATATTTTACTATAGAAAGTAAGCCTTGCTGGTGAGGGTTTCATATCCTACAAGATTTCCGGAATTCAGATCTTTCAGCTTATTTAATCTATGACCAATATGAACCCATTTCCCATAGCAATATTATTAAATTAACTATCATACCTTTTTGATAATCTGAGCCAAAACCATGTCTATTTCTTCGATTGCCTTGGGTATTCGAAGAATCAGTAGTTGGACGTGTTGTTAGGTAGCAATCATTAGAATCACCTTGAACGGTAAAATCGAAAAAGATTTTTAAAAAACAATTATAAACTTGTATTGGTATTTCAGTATTCTTTTTCATTATTCTAATCGTATTCCTTCAAGCCGATCAATGAAAACCTCACAATGGAATGTGAATTGGAAACTACTTAACAAATCATTTAATAAAAGGCTTGTGTTGGCAAAGTCACAACACATGCGGAAAATTGTGGAAAGCTCTCTATCTTGGCTTGATGGCACTACAGAACTACATGCTGAGAAATTCGGTGTCATTGTTTTCAGTTTTTACTGTTTTACACTTCACTAATAATCGACTGACATGTACTGAATTTATACAATCACAAAATAGTCTAATAGTCTTACTTAGTTTTGGAATTCATAGCTTGAAGGGGCATTATGTTTTTTTTTAAGGTCAAAAATTTTTTTGCTCAATTGTATCTAAATTATACATCAAAATCTAGAGAAATTTGTCTCTTAACGTATCTGAATGGTTTAACTGAAATACAATCCAGCCATTAATCTTTTAATGCCAATAATTTTTACGTAAACTTTTTAATTTTGTTATGGTTTTGCTAGGTTTATTTAAGAGAAATATATATCCTACTTTTTCAGGTAGATAAATAAATGGATTTTCCAATTTTCTGAAATAATTTAAGGCATAATTTACAAAGCTTTTGATATTGAATATTTTGCATAATGCCCCGTAAACTTTGAATAAAAACAGTTTGAAGAATGTCCATAATGGACCCAGTAAATGCTGAACATATCAAGTTCTTTAATTATATTTTTAACATCTGCCTCAGCTGCAGTAAATACCCTCGAAAATTGAACAATGAAGATCACAGTAATAGAGAAGTGTGCTTAGAATAATGTCAGTTATCTTCGGCCAGAAAGCTTTTTGATATCATTGGAAAATGTAACTTACCGAAGCAATAACGTTGATCACTACCAGACGTTCTCTTTAAATTATACACCATATAGTCCGTACAGTTTTTAATCTGTATCGGATACTTGACTTTACAACAAGATGAAGACATACTTAAACATCCCATTCTATCAACTATATCATCTTCTACTGTAGGATGGCTACCTATAGACAACATGATAAAACATACTTAAACATCCCATTCTATCAACTATACCATCTTCTACTGTATGATGGATACCTATAGACAACATGATAAAACATACTTAAACATCCCATTCTATCAACTATACCATCTTCTACTGTAGGATGGCTACCTATAGACAACATGATAAAACATACTTAAACACCCCAACGTGAGAATCACCCATCTCCCCATTTAAAAAACATTGTTCCTTGTTCACATGTATAAAGCCTGATTCAAAAAACCTGATTACACATCGTTACATAATATTCTAATTATATCAAAATAAAAAAAAGTAAATAGACCTACCATCTAACCAGACATTGCTGTGAGAGCCACAAAATCCACTAGGAACACACATAGTAGGCATAGTAAGATCTTCTCCTGTTGACTCTAGCTGAACTCGTCTCCATCCTTCATCTATAAATCTATCATGGGAGTCGGAATAATACAGGTCACATTTAATACTTCGTCCACCATCATCGGATAACATTCTGTAGCTGTTACATGGATCATCTTGTAATGAAACTGAAATACAAAATTTCATATTAACTTGTGATCAAAAAAATAAAGAAAAGGGGCGGTCAAGAGTTTTTTAAACTTTCATTGTGTAATGGGGATACTGAGCATCAATGTACATCATCCCAACTTACAGTCAGATGTCTGTGGTTCATGTGTTTCCACGATAAAATTCTAGAGAAACTAAAATATAAACATATATATTTATAAATCATACAACTCTAAAGATGAACTAAGATACAATGGTCGAACCGTACTCCAATGATATCACTACGCCAATCTCGATGCAATATTGAAAACCTACGGAGCCCCTAAGGCGCAATTGCAAACATATTTATTTATCATTTCGTTTAAACGAAATAACTATTTAGTTTAAACGAAATAATAATAAAAAGTGTTGAAAATTAAAAACCCATATACACACATGCGGTTGCCTTTTTATTCCATACTGTTTCATTCAACGAATACGCATAATTCATCATGTTAATTAAAATAAAACCAACGTAATCCTCACCATGGAATATGATATTGACAAATATACGATGATGTCACGATGATTTTTTTTAAATCATAAATAATTGATAATAATAGATTGAGCTGTTATAAATGATTTATTTCAAAAATTTTGGGAAATGTGTTGTCCGAAATGTTTGTAGAATATATATATTGAACTCGTTTAATATATCATACAAAAAGGGATGTTGAACAGCGTAGTATCAGATTTTTATAAGGTTGAAACCATTTTTGTTTGATAGTACGAAAGTTTTCACTAAGGCATCTTACAGTTAATAAGGAACTCTATTTAACTTGGTTTCAACCTAAAGTACCTAGCCATTTTAAGGTCAGTTGTCCAAATTAGATCAAACTGCTTAATTAACATGAAGAACGCTTTCTGTTTAATAAATTCGTAAAATCATATTCAGGTTGATAAAGTGTATTCATAGAAGTATATTTTAGAAATTTCGAGTATAATATATAACGTTTATAATAAGGAAAAGTGATACACTAATGGACCTACCTGTTAAAGGTAATACTATCAGTATCACGGCTATTATCAACCCCAACATCTTGTTGGTTATTTACGATATAAAACACAAATCACAAGAAATGACTTCCTTGATAGACGGACCAAAACGATATAGGCTATATTCAATAGTTATAAAGCACACAATAAGTGTCAATACAGTCACACTGACATTTGCACGATTTCTATTTGTGCAATGGTGTGCCAATTATTAAAGATTTCGTGAACTAGTGCGAGGACTGCGTAAAGAGTGCGGGCGTGCGATCATGTCGTAGAGAGAATTTTAAAATGTTGAAATATTTGGCACGCATTAGTTTTCGTACTATGAGCGTGTTACGATGCGTGAACACTGCAAAAAATCGACACAAACGCTTTCAACGCGTGACCAGAGCGTAAGCCATGTGCAAACAATACTTGATTTATGCGTAAACAGGTGGTGCCATTGAGTTAATATGTGACTATCCAGCCAATTCTGGGGTCTGCGTAACTTATGCGTTTTCACTGCTTGAACAGGTCTAATTAACCATGTATAACAATTGGCATGTCTGATTAATTGTATGTCTAACTAATGGGTTAGATATGGTCCACTGCACACAGATTCCATTCATTTTAGCACTGATTTAAACCTGATGTATCTCCTTTTTCTAAAATTCTAAAGCATTGATTTGTTTGTAATTTAACATGTAAATATTGTAATACGATCAAGGTTTCATTGTTTTGTAATTATCAAATTCACCTTTCCGTTTCGTGCTTTTAATCTAATAACATATTTTACTTAAAGAAAAGATCTCGTGCCAGGCTTAATTTTAAGTAAGCATTTCATTTTTGTATTTCTTCCGCAATACTATAACTGTGTTTCAATTCCAATATCACTTTTTATTGTTTTTAAAGAGAGACCTGTTGAAAATGATCCTTTTTAATGTGCTTTATTTACTGTGTTATTGTTGCTAAATGGGTGGCCAAATAAAGATCTTATTATTATGTTACTATTTTTATCATTGTATACAATTTCCATAAGAATAACACGAGCGTTTTAAATAAGATTTACAATATATTTACCTCATGTACACCTGTTTAGCGTTGATTACGTTTTGAGAGTAAAATCCATTTCAAAATGACTGATTTAGTTTGGGGAAGAATAAATTTCGAAGAACTCTTCTGTGGAGGAATGATCTCCACTGATCTTGAGAAGCACTGTTTTAGTGCACTACGAACCGAAGTGTCCACTGTAAACTGTTGGACCGAACTTGATACGGTCTTGCAGATTGAGGGACTTCTATTGATAGGTTACTAAATCACGTACAAGTTTATTGTATAAATACCAATTGATAATCCCCACCAAGGACGTCTTATCCTCGTGCAATTCTTTGTGGAAAAAATATATCCTATTCAATGTATGGGTTAATATAACAGACATAAAAAATATATTAAAACAGAATTTGAAACATTTTGTTACACATAGCTTCATGCAATGCGATCGTTTACAGTAACGCCCTAAACATCAATTGCAGAGCGATATAGATAAATCAAAACAGAACTTGAATCATGTTGTTATGCAAAATTTCTAAACATTTAAGGTCCCGCCTTTACGATTTGCTTGGTAGAGAACAAAGAAGATGACCTTTTTTTTGATTGTTTTTTGAAAGATACTGGATACCATATTCGAATTATTGTCACTTTCATTTTAACGAGCTAGATTGCAGTAGAAATGTTGCTGTTTAGTTTTTTGTGGATTTTGGATTTTGGATTGGTCATACAGTTAGAATAGTTAGTGTTTTAACAGTTACTTTTGTCTCCAAACTTCTTTATTAGACTTCCTACATCTACTGGATGGTCCATTGTAATATATGTATACAGCAGCAAATACCTATTGTTGTACTGTTGTCTGTTCAGCCCATAGAACCGTGCTTCTCAACAGGGGACGAATTACTTCCAAAGAGAGGTATTGGAAGACCATGGAGAGGGATCTACTGCTGCCATTTCCTATCACGTATTTGGTGGAATGCAGGATCAGCACAGTTAATTATGTACTCTCAAAGTGATTTGTTGAAAATAACTGACATCATTCATCCTGGACATACAGAAAATCGTGACCGGTTAATCGTTTTATACATTTTTCCAGTGAAAATGACTGATTCCTTATGGGGAGGAATATATTTGAAGAACTCGTCCGAGGAGGAATGTTCTCGCGGAGATTGAGAAGCACTGCTATAGAAACACTTTACTTCGCCAACCTGTGTTGTTATGTAAATCATTTAGAAGCATTACTGTATAAACTAGTCTTGTGCTCGTGGAATACACCTTAAGTTCGCCGAGAAAGCTGAGAAATAAATCTTGCTTATCGAATCAATTGAGAGACATATACTCCATATGTCTGGCCAGTACGGAAATTAAAACATAAACTAGAACTGTGAACAGTCCCGAGTGTGGTAACGAGACCTTATCCGATGTTATTATTTTTGACTTTAAGAACTTCTAACCTATTAGCTTTCAACCCTGGTGCTTTACAATTTGTGGATAAGAAAATAACACCCTCGGGTATAAATAAAAAATAAATAATTCAAACAAATAATTGGGCTCTTATTTACGCACGTCTAAAATTTGTGAACAAGAAATTAAAACTCTTACATCTGGATAAATAGGGAAATGCATTGACTTATTAATGCAATAAAAACTTCAATGTGATTATAACAATTTCGATTATTGGCAATTTAAGTTTATAGCCCTGTTTTAGTATTGTCTATCGGTTTTGGCACATTCTACTCCCCATTTGAAATAATATTTTCCCGTTAGGTCTACCGACTCGAGCAACCCTTCACTGGGTTTCCGGTTGGGCTTCTGATAAGCAGATGCTTTATTAACACATTGCATATCTACATTTTATCTGCAGTCTTTATAATAAAGGATTTCCAAATATAGTTGAAAGAAAATGTACTTGATCCATGAAAGTAAAGTATATAGCAAAGTAAGAACGCTTAAGGAGTGGGGCAAGTGATATATTCGGAGGGGCAATGGGGGAATGGGGGTGGTCGATTGCAGGAAGAGGTGGAGCATCCTGGAGCATCGAACTGTTACTATCACTTTCTATCGATAGCTGAGGTCAAGGACATTTTACTCAAAAGAGTCAATGTTTCGAGATATATACTTTTAATTGTTTACAAAAATTCAAACGGTCATTAAAAAAAATTGAATTCGAAATTCAAACTCTGCTGCCATCAAGTTTTAAGTAGAATTAGAAGGCTGTCCAGCAGCCCTAAACTTCCTAAAAAAATCGATTTTAATTAGTTTTGCTAAAATTCCTTCAAATTGTGGAATTTAAAGAGAAATCCTAAAAAGTCATAATTTTATGACAAGAATTCTGTCCAAAATGGCCTCAGGTGTAAGCAAATCGAACCTTTTCAAAAAATTGTTTTTAGTGTCAAATTAACGAGAGTAATTTATTTAAATGTCAAAAGCTGTCCTAATTTTTAGTTATAATATTCCTAATTATGAAATTAACCCTTATTTTAGACACAAAAATCATACAAATCTGACAATAAATTTTTTCGAAAGTGCGTCACTCTCAGGTAACGGCGCATGCGTCACTTCCAGATTGGATTTTTTCTTCTTAGGTGCCTCACATTATTTTTTATGGATAATCTATATGGTTTTTGTTAACATTTGTGAAGTACACCGCAGTTGGAGTCACCCAACCTGATTTTTAGAAAACGGAAGTTCCCACGCCGAAACTGGAAGTGATTTTAAATTTAATGACGCAGTTTTATTTGTATTGGCATGCTTGAGTAGACAATTTCCGAATTATTCATGAAAATTGCTTTATCAAAAAAAAAAAGAAAATCTTGAATATACATATTGACGAAATATTGGTAGCAGATTATGAACTTTTCAGTTTTCACATAAGGAGGTATATCAATCATAAATGAGTAAAAATTTCATAATGAAAAGTGGTATCAGGTGTCCAGAAATATAAGAGTAAGCATACCCTGCCTTGTGCCACATCCGCCATGGCTGCTCAACATACACAACACACAATACAAATAGGAAAGCGCCAACAGAAGAAATAGCCACTTGACGACGAATTTAAAAAGTTCATGGGACGTGGGCCTAACTGTGAAAATACATTTATCTCCAATTTCAATAGATCAAGGGACGTAACTGATGAAAATACATTTCTCCAATTTAAAGGGAGTGAACTGACCACAATAATTGTTATAGTATGATAAGACAAAAAGTTCTAAACGCCCAAATGTGGAAGCCTTTAATGATGAAAAGTGGTATCAAGTGATCAGAAGAGTAAGTATACTGTGCCTGCAACCAACATGTCATTGCTGCTAAATACTACAAATGAAATAGGGGGGCAAAACTAAACCTAGTGTTAAGAAAAATTACAGAATCATATGGTGGCAACTCTTTTTGTGTACTTGTAGTTTATTCATCGTTTTGATATGGTCTTATTAACCCGTAATAAACTAAGCGTGTAAATTAGATTGGAGCTATCTAAATCTGACCAATCAGATTGATAGAACGGAAATGAGGTCGGGTAAACAAAACACAAAATTGATTTGCCGCCACTCGTTTGAAGATATAAGAATACATTCTTTCCACTTTCCAAAGTAAATATTCCAAAGGTTTGATTTTCTTTCAGCTTCAATTCTTTACCGAACATCTTAATTCTGTGTCGGTTAAATTAATCAAAACATTTAATGACACGCTGCTTTCGTTTTGTTTACGTTCGCATACATAGCGTCATACGAGCGGTTTAATTTGATTGGCTGAGATTTGCTACACGATTTGTAGTGTAATGGGTTGAAAAATCAAAAAATTGTATTGATGAGACTCTTGAAAGTGACTTACTTAATTTTTAAATAGTTAGTAGAGAGGTCGTGACACTTTAGATTGACAAGTAGTTAACAGATCGCATACTAGTGCAACAAATTGTATCAGAACTTATCGACTCGCCTCACAAAAACTGGCATAACAGTTATTTTACCTATCCATAAGACGTGGATACTTGTCAGCCCCTCGCATACTAATTCAAGTATTCATTGAGTAACTTAAACATATTGATTGTATTTTCTATCAATAAAGTCCGTGTTCTTAGCTGCACCCTTCATTCATATGGAAATCAAAACCAATAAAAACAATATAAGAATATATTTGGCGACTCATTATACAACAATAACATAGTAAAATTTTCAAAAAGCCCCTTAAATCCTCAAACAACTATAAATAGAGTTATATTGAAAATGAAACACAAGTCATAATAATAAAGAAAAAATAAAACATCAAAAGATATTACATATACAAAGAATGAAGACTAAAAACAGTTACTAATTTTAGATACAATGACAAAGTTAAAAAAAATAAAGAGAAATTTTCCTCAAGCACCTCAAAAATACAAAGCAATTATATTGGGAGTAATAGGATAGCAGTGTAGAGGAAATACAAAAATTATATGTTAAGTTAAAACCTAAATTTATAAAGATATAAAAGGGTCTCAAATTCGATTCTTGTATCAGTATTATGCCTTACACGATTTTCTTGAATATACGAGTAAAAAAGATTTCTTAAGATTGCATTAATATTTTTTTTATTAAATCGATATAAATATGATCAACAAGGTCAAATGCCTTACTGAAGTCCAAGATGACAACTTCAACAATGTTTCAACTTCAATAATCAATTGCTTGAAGTCAAGTATCAGACGTCTCAATTAAAGCAGCAGTGTTTTCTCAATCACTTCATCTCCTATCATAAACTGTTAGTATTCCGTAAATAATGTGAATTGGTTGTAATGTTGTAATAATGCTTAGCGTCATGTTACCTGCTACTGATTTCGTATGGTAATCATATAAGGAGGAAAACAATATAATAGCATATCATGTGATTTGTAACTGTTGAATATAGCCTGTTGAATTTTTGGTTACCATAATCGCACTGGGTCGGCGATCAAGGAAATTAATTCTTGTGGTTTATGTTATCAAATCATATATATTTATATATATTCATATATATAAACAAGGTGATGGAGTTGATATTAATTGTGATGCTGTTACCGTTAACAGGTAGGCCGTCTATTATTATACGTTAAAAAGTCGTATCGATATTCTGGATGCAGTGATATATCATGAGATCGGTAATGTCGTTCATAAATGTTAAAGGGACATTCCGCTTTTTTGAAAAAAAGTTTTTATTATCAAAAAAAGCATAAATTATAGCTGAAAATATTTCAAGTATCCTATTGATATCTATGTATATCTTCTTGATTTAAAAGGGTTTTTAAAAACGGGGAGTACTAATTGTTAATTAAGCAGTTTGACCCAGTTTTGGTGTTTAGCTTTAAAAGTGCACAGTGTTCGCAAATTTGTGCAAAAAAAAACGATCCACAAAAAAGTGTCCATATTTTAAGTAGTTGTTGACAGAATGAATCAGACTTTTAAGTAGAACTGTTTGTAGTCATCCGATCTGTTTTTCATTGATTCAGATCTTGGCACAAAAGAGGTCATCAAAAGTTTCGTCCCTTTGCGGAATATTGAGGGTACTAGTCATGTTGGTCTCGGAGACCTCCCACTGGAAAATTGTCTTCTGTGAATAACGCGATTTTGGAAGTGAAAGTTGCATAAAGTTTTCATTTAACGGCCTTAATACGCAACTGCCTATCAGTCTTTCAGGATTTAGTGTCTTAATTCACCGGACTTCCATAACCTGACGGAATTTTGTTCTCTCGTCGTCTGACAAATCAATTTCCAACAGCTCTGTTGAGGTAATGGTAAGATTGAATCATCTGAATGATCGTCCAAGTGAAATTATTAGATACTGTTTTGTCTTTCTTTAGAAGAAGACGACTTTATTTAAGTTGCCTATAGTGTAAAACTTCAATGAGATTTGTTATTAACAATTACATGTACAAAACAAGGTTTATAGTTAAAAATATAGAGTATCTTAAACGAGTGCTTATGTCATATGAAATTTATAGAATAAGTTGTTAGATTTAATATTCAATCAGGCAACGAATTTCATAAATTCTTTATGACATAAACACGAGTGAAAGATTATATTTTTCTTTTCACAAAACAATCAGTAAATCCATAATTTCCTTGCACTTTTTCGGTATAAGGCCTTCATTTTGAGGTCCTCCTTTTTGCACCACAATCAGGGAATTCTCAGGTTTCGGGATTTTCGATCTTATTCTCATCGTCAAGCAGTGGTCATCCCCAATTTTACCCCCACTTCATTTTTCGAGAATTATAAAAATATGATGTATTACGTTTTTGAACCAAATTACGCTTCAGAATACACCAAATCATTTCCATTTTTCGCAAATTTTCTTGGGAGAGCCCACCCAGACACTCCATGAGAGACTTGCGATTATGAAGCTTCAACAGACTTGCCGCATTTTAATTTCAGGCTCGATAGTTTGTCCCCTCATTGAGCCAGTCTGCCCCAGTACCGCCACTAATGCATCGTTGATTAGCAAGGCACTTCATGAGATGATAAACTCATTAAATAATTCAATATCTATTCTATAAGTAACAAATCATTGTTAGCTTCTATAACATATTGTTTTTGACATGGTATCGAAATGATGTCCTTGGTGGCTCCAAGTGGAATCTCAGTGCAGACAGGTTACATTGGATTGACCTTTCTAAAAACGTTGGCATTGAGATGATCACGTAATAAAGATGAAGTTTCTTGTGTAGACTGGCATCTGTTCCCAAGAACAGTTACTTACTACACAAGGATTTGATAAAATTTGTACCAAACGGTGTACGACTACATTCGAAATGCTGCGACCGAAAAAATGTTTTCCTTTTTGCTGGTTCGAAGTAAAATCACAGTTTAGAAAGATTGTGATGGATTGACCTTTCTCAAAACAATGGCGAACGAGGTAACAATCCGTAAATGTGGTGCCTAAATGTATTTTTAGCTTCTTTTGCATATTGTTTTACGTATATATGGTATGGAAATAATGAAATGGTTGTAACAAGTATCAATCGCAGTACAGACGGGTTGTGTTAGATTAGCATTTTTATTAACGCTGACATTGAGATAAACACGTCATAAGTATGATAGTCGTGGTAAAGATGCAGTAACATTCCACACAAGAGACTTTGTTGCCCGAACGTTTTTTGTTACAAATTTCAAGCTTCTTGTACTAGCCTCGGCACAACTGTCAGGCCCGGCATCACAACGCGTTTGGCTTGTTCTGCTTTCTATTCGGTTGTATTATTTGTACTGACATAATGCTTGGCTATGACGATATCGCGTTAAAAGCACAATTCGTAATTCGTCGCCACTATACAATAAGTGTTCCTCCAGGTGCGAACATGTCCTTTTTGTCTCGGCCAGCACCTTTGAGAACCAGACGGCACCAATTGTAATGTTGAAATAGGTATCGTGATGCATCAGGAAATCCTTCAGGCATCCCTCTTACAATTAACTGCCAGGACTCTGTTTTTCAAAGATGCTTAAATCGACGTCTAAACGTAGAAGTTACGACGACCGTAAGTTTACGTTTACGTCTACGGGCGACAGGTTTCTAGAAAGCACGCGTAAGAGTAGCGTAGTTTACGTCCAACTCTTTCTCTTGGAGGAAAGAAAGGTGATAACTTCCGGTCAAGATGAGACTTTGATCGATGGATACATGTATTATCATATTATAGTATTAACTGATTTTATATGAACAGATCAGGTTACAACATGCAGTAAAAGGAGAAGGAAACTACAGATACCGTGGATAATTTAGTTCAAAGTTTCATCTAATTTTTACAAAACGTTTTTTCGTGAAACTGGCTCCAGCTTAAAAATGCTGGTTTTTTTTTTAACAAATTGTAAAATGCATGTTTTATTGTTTAGTTTCATCACAAGATGATCCATGTAACAGCTACAGAATGTTGTATGATGATGGTGGACGAAGTATTAATTGTTCACTGTATTATTCTGAGTCGAGTGATAGATTTATAGATGAAGGGTGGAGAAGAGTCCAACTAGAGTCAACAGGAGAGGATCTTACTATGCCTACTGAGTGTGTTCCTCGTGGATTTTGTGGCTCTCATAACAATGTCTGGTTGAATGGTAGGCTTATGTTACTTTTTCTATTGCAATATTTACAAATCGATTTGTGTTTTTTATCCACCTATATTATTAAATATGATTATTATTAAATTACGATATTCTTATTTAAATCCAACCAATCAGCCATTACTTTGTTTGTAAAATGATAGGTTTTTCGTGCACTAAGATTTGGTTGTTGTACAGATATTAGATAGAAAAGAATGTTTAAAGGAATGCTTCAGTAAATCAATGTTTTTAAACTTGATCTAAATGAGTTCATTGGTGTCAAAACTATACACCAAATCCAACTGTAATCCAAGTAAAGCTAAGAATGTACTGAAAAATACTTAATATTTCTATGCCCGTTTTAATGATTACTTAGTTCAATGGATTGATCGTCATACAAAAGGATGATTTTTTATCGTTTTTACACCAGGTAAATCCACTAGTGAATATATGCCCTTATTGACCAAGTTTGAGATTATAAATTTATGCTCGTTCTGAGGCAGAATTCATTTAAGTATTGGATGTTTAAGAAGTGCAATCCTACAGTAAAAGATAGTATAGTTGATAGAATGGGATGTTTAAGTATGTTTTATCATATTATCTATAGGTACTCGTCCTACAGTAGAAGATGGTATAGTTGATAGAATGGGATGGTTAAGTATGTTTTATCATATTATCTATAGGTACCCATCCTACAGTAGAAGATGGTATAGTTGATAGAATAGGGTGTTTAAGTATGTTTTATCATATTATCTATAGGTACCCATCCTACAGTAGAAGATGGTATAGTTGATAGAATGGGATGTTTAAGTATGTTTTATCATATTATCTATAGGTACCCATCCTACAGTAGAAGATGGTATAGTTGATAGAATGGGATGTTTAAGTAAGTTTTATCATGTTGTCTATAGGTAACCATCCTATAGTAGAAGATGGTATAGTTGATAGAATGGGATGTTTAAGTATGTTTTATCATGTTATCTATAGGTAACCATCCTACAGTAGAAGATGGTATAGTTGATAGAATGGGATGTTTAAGTATGTTTTATCATATTATCTATAGGTAACCATCCTACAGTAGAAGATGGTATAGTTGATAGAATGGGGTGTTTAAGTATGTTTTATCATATTATCTATAGGTAACCATCCTATAGTAGAAGATGGTATAGTTGATAGAATGGGATGTTTAAGTATGTTTTATCATATTATCTATAGGTAACCATCCTACAGTAGAAGATGGTATAGTTGATAGAATAGGGTGTTTAAGTATGTTTTCATCCTGCTGTAAAGTCAAGTATCCGATACAGATTAAAAACTGTACGGACTATATGGTGTATAATTTAAAGAGATTGCTTGGTAGTGATCAACGTTATTGCTTCGGTAAGTTACGTAACACAACGATATAAATTATGAAGGATATAGCATCCAGGCCACAGCAAAAAGTCATTGTGTACATTATATAGCGCTATGTTGATCACTTAATAATTGATACCTAATTTCCATGAAGACCGAGTCGAGTACCAACAAAACACAATATAAAGGTTCATATACTCTTAAAGTATAAGTTCCATGGCCTGAAAAAGATTAGAGTAAGGAACACAATTACTGTTAAACCACTATATCCTATGGTTTGATATTAGATCACACAAACCTTTTCCGATTTTACCGTTAAAGGTGATTCGACGCATTGTTACCAAACAACACGAAGTACTTCCGTATCTCCATTTACCAACACGTCACATCCAACTACTGTATCTTCCACTACCACCCAGAAGTTAATGACCAAGACTCCACGACAAACTCAAAAGACGTTACATACCTCTTCCAAGACGTCACAGCCAACTACTGTTTCTTCAACAACCAAGAAAACGGAAGTTCGCCCAGTTCAAATGGACCCCGAGATTCCCAGCTCTGTGGATAATAATCGTCAAGACAATCTGCAAACCACCAATGTCTATGTTAAAAATGAATTAGTCTCTAACATTCAGTATCACGAAAAAGGTAAAAATGAGAAATTAGTCCTAAAGAGTGATGACTTTTACCTAATGTGGTCAATTTAAAGGTATACTATCTGCCAGAATGACCAAAAAATTGAAATATTTAAGATTTTGCCAAAAGGAATCTTCGTGGTGTCCAACTGATGAATACATACTCATATTGACCAAGTTTGATACTTTAAATTTGATGTCCATCATAAGAGATAGTTGAAGCATCAGGTTATCGGTAATCTGGAAGGGTTTGAATTGATGATACTCACGAAGAAGGCTAAACCTTTAATTAATCGATTAATCGATTTGACACAGTGAAATGATTTTTGTTCTAATTACGGTCTGGAAAAAATTAACAAAATTGGTGTAGCTTTTAACTTGACTAAATATCTAAACTCGTGGATAATTTTGTAAAACATAATGATTTGCAAACCGGGCATGGTGAATTGATGAAATATGACCTATTTACTTCAGAATTCCTATATTTTATATGAAAATGAAATTGTCAAAATCTTTTGATATAATTACATACTATGATATGTTTAATGTGTAGGTTTTTTTGTTACAATGGTATTGTACAATATTTAATTACTGATTTATTTCTTTTGGGCTTGCCAGTACATGGTGTAAAGATAACAACCATTATGTCCCATAGCACTTTGGTTACCTTTCTTCAAAGGTCGTTGAGGGAGCTGAGGTGGATCGATCCCGGCAAAGGTCGAGATAATACCTTCGGATTTTTCAACCCAGTTTCCCCCTGTCATTGACGCAGGTACGAGGAGCTGACGTGGAAAAAGCGTCTAGTCGTCCGTATGGGACGTGTGCTACAAGCTGTAAAGATCCCTCGACAGTTGGAAATCGAAAGAGAGCAGGCTAATGCCGCTGTCCTGTCAAAATTTTCCTCATTGCACACTGCATGGCGTTGCCCGTCTTCATTAGCCCACATGGTGCAGAAAAGTAAGACGTAAAACTCAAATTCATATCATTTCATTTTTTCTAAGGTCGTTGAGACTTGTTATTTTTGATATTTTTTTCAGACGACATGATAATGATTCTTCGAGTAAGTTTATCCGTCACAATCGCCTTACTAATTATTCTTGTATTAGGTATACTCTTCATGAGACACAGGTACGTAACAATTGGATGTAGTTAACAATCGTTTTACCAACGTTTTAATTTATTTTATCTATTTACGTTGGAAACAAAGAAATGTCATTTTTGTGGGATATGACATAAGAAGATATTAAGTTAGTTCATGACTGCGCAAACCACCCCCTTTTATTATCCGCCCACATGAAATGTGGAGCGTATATTGGCGTCATTCGTGCCCGTCCATCCGTCCGTCTCGTAAATACAATCCTCGACAAAACTTGATGGAATTGTTTACATTAAACCCAGGATGAACCCTATGAAAACAAAATCGAAAATAGTAATTAAGTTATTGTCCTTTGATCTTGAAAACGTATTCTAAGTTCACATTTCTTTAACGATTGTGACGGAGCGTGATGTTCTTTATTACCCAATGATGAACCCTATTAGTAATCAATAAAATTCAGAAAATATTTGATTGTTGATGTTTGATGTGATGCCTTAGTTGATGAAAGCGCATTCGATTTTTAGACCTTAAACACTCTAGAAAGCACAATTGTGGATTTTGGCAAAATCTGGTAAAGGAAAGTACTCTATAGAAATTCAATAAAAATTGGAAATTTAATTCGAGTTATTGCCCTTGTGCATTGAAACGCGTTTTTATATGGTAAATACTGTAAAAATCGCCATTATTTACATATTTAACTGAAACTTTGAGAAATTGTACATAATGAATTAAGAATTTTTAACTGAAAACAAAGCTGATAGTGGACGTATATAACATTGTCTGGTATGCTAACTCTAAGGAACCTGAAAATTTCAATTCATAAATATAGTTGGCAGACGCGATTCTCAAAAAGTTTTATTCGGTCTTGGTTTACATATAATCAGTAGCGTATTTATGCGATAATTTTTGGGCCATACCCGTCCCCCATACCTCCTCCCAGGGGCCATACAAAATAAAAACTGTAGTCTACTTTCACTTCAAAAATCGCGTTAGATGTATTCTCCGGCTTCCCAGATTAGAAACTTTTCCACCAAGGCTAGTTCCGTCTAATGTCCGCACAGAGTCGCCGGTTAGCTTATTTCATTTATGACATTTCATCCCCCCCCACTACCGTTAACCTTTTAAATATATACTTTTTCATTTCATATTTGAAGGTGGCAGGCAAAAACATCTCCACTCAAAGTGTACTTGAAATACACAATTGTGGAACTTTGGATCTAAGTTATCAATTTTCAATACGCAAAAGTCTATTTTTTTTATATGAATAGACATTATCCAGTAGAGGGTTTTTATGAAAAACCTGTGCTCGCATGCAATGCCTTTTAGGGACAGAGGCGCCATTTTGGGGGTTGATTTGAGCCTTGAATATATGTATATAATACTAAAAATGTACGAAAATCACAAAATTTCTTATAAAACTATCTCGAACTAGGAATTTCTTCTCCTATTTCTATAGATGTCATTTCTCAAGAAAAAGACTACTTTTTATCTTTCAACCGTAAGTATTTTCGATGTAGGTTTTTACTGTTATTTTTCCGTCAACAAGACCTAACATTCAAAAGTAATATTTTAAAATATTTTAAAAAAATATATTTTTAGGACGATGACAAAAGATCGCTCGAAAGGCAGCTCAGAAGCTACAAATCAAGGGTATGATTCAGAAGGTGAAACCAACGTTGAAAATACTTATGATACCATCTCGCCTCCATCTGATGTTCATGGTCATCAAGCATCAGGCATATATCTAACTGTAATCTAATAAAATTTAGTTTACAGTTTCGTTTTGTTACTTCTTTTGATCTCCATTGTAATCGAAATATATCTTTTATTTTTCGGCATTACTTTATAGAATTAAAATAAAAAGTCTTGGTTCTCCTGTCTTTCAACAAAAACCTTGGAAGTTTATTATCAATTTTATATTGCTTGTATAATTGTTGCTGATTAATTTTGTTTGTATTTATATAAATTGGGCGAATGTAGCCTAATTTCTTACCGTAATAAAATTATTATTATTAAATCTCTCGACAATCTTCAAGTTCGTGGTTTTATGACCGTTGATTTCGACTCGGCCCTTATGGATATTTAACAGTGTTATTCAGACTAAAAGGTTTATCATTTAAGTATTCATTTAAGGGACAGCTGCGCCATTTTTGGGGCGTTGATTTGAGTCTTAAATATATACAAATAATCTTCTGAAGTACTGGATATGTACAAAAATATCTCAAACTATGATCTTTACATATGACAGTGTCTCAAAACTTACAAACGCGGATAATTCTGGACACACATGGACTGGAAGGCTGAAATTGCGACGGTGACCCCATTTTGATATTACTTTACGGTGGGACGTCAATTCTCGAACAACCATGGCGGTTTTCATGCAGTGGGGGTGCTGCCCCCTTGAGACTGGGGGTGCATATTGGAGCAGACTAACTTGATGGGGTACAATTGTCAAGGTTGAAATTAAATATGCATAGCTCTGTATAACCACCATTAGTGTAAGCCACCATTGTGCGTATGAAATGGTTCTTTCCCAAAAAAGAAAAGAAAACGAACTAAAACACGACCGATCAAAGTAAAGGTAGTATAAATTGTTATCAACAGTTCTATTAATTCTGCCAGGAAATAAAGTGGATTGTCTGAGTTCATGCTTAGAATCAGACAAATCATTTATCATATTAAAATGACTTTGAAAGTGCCATACTTAAAACACTTGTTGTGTTGAATATCAACATAGTTTTTTTTTTGACAAAATAAAATAATTTCATACTGGCATAACTAAAATTTGTTCATTTTTTTTAAGTTTGCGTTTATTATTTATTATATACAAACTTCCCTCTGAGAAATTCAACCAAATATGACTTAAACTGTGCCCTTAATTTATATATTCAATTCTGTATATGGTTACCTTTTATCAACACGATGCCATACTTCGACTATCAATACTGCTTTACAACTAATTCAATTTGCAATAAAAAAAAGCACTTTCTGAATACGGACAACAGTATTTTAATATTATAGATTTAAAATATCTAATTTTCAGTCCTCATATGTAACACTCTCTCACTGTAGTTTAATTCATATTTGATTACAATTCACTATTATTTTGTTCAGTTTAATTGTCAGATTAACGAATAAGTCAGTACCATTAAACTATTATAAGCAATATATTTGCTGTTGAAATCACAAACACAATCATTAGAGTTTTTAGTTTTTATTAGTATTATGATATACAAATATCGACGAATTGTTAATTCACTGGTATTCATCATATCGTCATCATCATCATCATCATCATCATCATCATCATCGTCGACTACATCATCATTATCCATTATCCATCTCCATCAATCATCGTCATGATCATTCATGACCCACCATCAATCATCATCATTATAATCATCATCATTATCATCATTAGTGTTATTAGTATTATTATATTACATTTACAAAAACCATTTTAACTTCACTGGTATTTATCGAATTATTTATTAACGTGAATTACGCGTATTATCGTATGGATTGATATTACTAAAATCATAATTTGGGTTCGTTGTTGGAGTTACGGTTTTGGCACGTGTAGATGGCACTCTCTTCCTACAAATACACGAATGAAATATGATATGTAATTGAAAATTAATCATAACAATGACTTTATATTCCGAATTTCTCAGAATGATAACAAGTCTCTTAGGAAATTGTTAAAAATACACAAAACAAAAGATTAAGGACCCTATGTGAGTACTCAGCAAACATATTTGACATTGATCTTTCTGTCTATCATTGCATCACTTTAAAGTTTCGGGCAAATTGAGCTGCTCTTCCAAAGTAATCTAACCATTCATTAGCATTACTTATGTATAAATAAATCAAGCACTAACGATCCGAATCGCAAAACAAAACTCAAAATCCAAAACAACATATTGACGAAACATTGCTAGCAGCTAATGAACTTTTCACATGAGGAAGTATATCAATAATAAGTGAGTAAATAGTTCAATATGAAAAGTGGTATCAGGTGTCTAGGAGAGTAAGCATACCCGTAAGCTGCCCTGCCGCCATAGTTCCTAAACAAACTCAACACAAACTACAAATAGGAAACTGAATATAGTCTTATGTGTAATACCTTTTATAAGCCAAACAGAAAATCGTGACAGAAACAATGATGAACACAACAGCTGCTGTTACTGATATGCCAATTACAACATAATCCATCTGGTTCTCTAGAAAAGAAATAAATTATATAACTTAAATCTTTATGTCAACTCTACAACCCTATCGCACTTCACGCTTCACAGAAAAAATCGCCAACTACATTTTATCCAGTTTCAAACCGACAACTCGCTATAACTTGTGCAGTTTCACATACAATCCTTTAGAACGACACATCGTTAACAACGCCCTATCCAATGAACCCAACGTCACATCTTATATGCTACTATCGTACCCTTATACAAACGCAGCCTTATTCGAACGAAATGTTACCTGCTGATGGGTCTTCAGTTACAGTATTTCTTGTAGTTTTAGTCACTTCTGAAATTGAAGGATAAGTTATATACTGTGGGTTGTAGGGAATACTGGAACATGCTTAACACAGCACAGCACAGCACAGCACACAACATACAATAGACAACCCAATTGAGCACATAATCATAATAATAATACAAAGTTACTACCTGTTGGCGCTGGGCTTTTAGTTGCATCGTCCATTGTGGTGTCTGTCATCTCTAAAAATTAAAATAGTAAAGGTAATTTAATTATTAGAAACGGTCTAACCTATCTACATCAGAACTACGTTCAATTCCATTTGTATCTTTTGAATGGGTTTTCGCGATGCTTGGAGACAAAGCGTTTGTAGTCTTGATTTAAAAAAAAAACGAATAATAGTATTTTGTTCAACAACAACAAAATGCCATACAGTATAATATATAACAAGATACTATATGAAGGAAATAACCTACCTGTCGTCGATGAATTTTCAGTGATATCGTCCATTGTAGTGCTTGCCATTTCTGAAATTAAAAGTTACAAAATGTATGTTTACAAGAATTTTTATGAAAATTACTGTAGTGAAACTAGACATTTTGCAATTTGTGGTGAGTAAAGTAAAATAATGACTGCACTTTAGACCTACCTGTTGTAAGTGGCTCTTCAGTGACCTCCATTTCAGTTCCATTTATGACTGAAATTTAAACGAAGATATGTAATGACGTGTTTCTCGTTTGTATACGAGGAATCTAAAATAATATCAATATCAAACTTACCG